CGCGAAACTCGCACACCTCTGTGGCTTCTGATTGGACGTATCATTTTTCTCACACGTGAAAAAACATCGTTCGCGATTCTGATTGGACGTATCGTTTTTTTCACGTGTGAAAACCATCGTTCGCTCCTCTGATTGGCTATAACTAATTTGCGTACGAAAATTTACGACATAGCTTTTTGGTGAGTATTTCTCAGTATGTATATAATAAACACGTATCCCTAATGATATGTGTTCCCCCACCTGGGAAACACGTATCCCTAGTGGTATGTCTTCTCCCACCTGGGAAACACATATCCCTAGTGACATGTCTTCCCCCACCTGGAAAACACATATCGCTAGTGATATGTGTTTTCCTACATGCGAAACAAATATCCCTAGTGATATGTGTTCCCCCACCTTGGAAACACATAGACCTAGTGATATGTGTTCCCCCTCCTGGCAAACACATATCCCTAGTGATATGTGTTCCCCTACTTGGGGAACACATATCCCTAGTGATATGTGTTCCCCCACTTGGGAAACACATATCCCTAGTAATATGTGTTTCTCCACTTGGGAAACAGATATCCCTAGTGATATGTGTTCCCCCACCTGGGAAACACATATCCCTAGTGATATGTGTTCCCCCACCTGGGGAACAGATATCCCTAGTGATATGTGTTACCCCACTTGGGAAACACATATCCCTAGTGATATGTGTTCCCCCATCTGGGGAACACATATCCCTAGCGATATGTGATCCCCCACTTGGGAAACACATATTATAGTTGTAAGTGTTCCCTCACTTGGAAAACACATATCCCGAGTGAAATGTGTTCCCCCACCTCGGAAACAGATATTCCTAGTGATATTTGTTCCCCCACTTGGGAAACACATATCCCTAGTGTTATTTGTTCCCCCACCTTGGAAACACATATCCCTAGTGATATGTGTTCCTTCAGCTTGGAAACACATATCCCTACTGATATGTGTTCACCCATCCGGGAAACACATATCCCTAGTGATATGTGTTTTCCACCTGGGAAACACATATCCCTAGTAATGTGTGTTTCTCCACCTAGGAAACGCATATTCCTAGAGATATGTGTTTCCCCACGTTAAAAACACTTTTCGCTAGTTATATGTGTTTCCCAGGGGGGGGAACACATATCCCTTCTGATATGTGATCCCCTACCTGGGAAACGCATATCCCTAGTGATATGAGTTCCCCTACCTGGAAAACACATATCCCTAGCGATATGTCTTCCCCCACATCTATTCCAAAGGGGTTAACCATGGATTTGGTCCAAAATTGGCTATTTTTTAAACTTTTTTAGTTTAAGGCAATATAAGCCAGGAAAATGTCGTTTACGATATTCTAGAACGATAAAACGCCCCAGCTTCTAGGGTATAAAAACAAGAAGTTCAAAAATTCGAAAAACTGACATTTTTCCAAAGGGGTTAACTCATGGTTTTGGTCCAAAAATGGCCATTTTTCCACCTTTTTTTTAGGCAGTATAGCCCAGCAAAATGTCGTTTACGATATTCAAGAACGAAAAAACGCCTTTCTAGGCTATAAAAACAAAAAGTTCAAAAAGTCGAAAAATTGACATTTTTCCAAAGGGGTTAACCCTTCGTTTTGGTCCAAAAATGGCGATTTTTCCAACTTTTTTTTAGGCAATATAGAACAGGAAAATGTCTGTTAGGAGATTCTAGAACGAAGAAACGCCTTTCTAGGCTATAAAAACAAGAAGTTCAAAAAGTTGAAAAATTGACATTTTTCCAAAGAGGTTAACCCATGGTTTTAATCCAAAAATGGCCATTTTTCGAACTTTTTTATTTAGGCAATTTCGAACAGGAAAATGTCTTTTACGATATTCCAGAACAAAAAAACGCCTTTCTAGGCTATAAAAAGAAGAAGTTCAAAAAATTGAAAAATTGACATTTTTCCAAAGGGGTAAACCCATGGTTTTGGTCCAGAAATGGCGATTTTTCCAATCTTTATTTTTAGAGAATATAGGCCAGGAAAATGTCTTTTACGATATTCTAAAACGAAAAAACGCCTTTCTAGGCTATAAAAACAAGAAGTTTAAAAAGGCGAAAAATTGACATTTTTCCAAAGAGGTTAACCCATGGTTTTGGTCCAGAAATGGCCATTTTTCCAACTTTTTTCTTTAGGCAATATACAACAGGAAAATGTCTTTTACGATATTCTAGAACGAAAAAACGCCTTTCTAGGCTATAAAAACAAAAAGTTCAAAAAGTCGAAAAATTGACATTTTTCCAAAGGGGTTAATCCATGTTTTTGGTCCAAATATGGCCATTTTTCCAACTTTTTTTTTAGGCAATATAGAACAGGAAAATGTCTTTTACGATATTCTAAAACGAAAACACGCCTTTCTAGGCTATAAAAACATGAAGTTCAAAAAGTCGAGAAATGGACATTTCTCCAAAGCGGTTAACCCATGGTTTTTCTCAAAAAAAGGCCATTTCTCCATCTCTTTGTTTTTAAGCAATATAGAACAGGAAAATATCTTTTACGATATTCTAGAAAGAAAAAACGCCTGTCTAGGGCATCAAAACAAGAAGTTCAAAAAGTCGGAAAATTGACATTTTTCCAAAGGGGGTAACCCATGGTTTTGGTGCAAAAATGGCCATTTTTCCAACTTTTTCTTTTAGGCGATACAGACCAGGAAAATGTCTTTTACGATATTCTAGAACGGAAAAACGCCTTTCTAGGCTATAAAAACAAGAAGTTCAAAAAGTCGAAAAATTGACATTTTTCCAAAGCGGTTAACCCATGGTTTTCGTGTAAAAATGGCCATTTTTCAAACTTTTTTTTTCAGGCAATATAGAACAGGAAAATGTCTTTTACGATATTCTAGAACGAAAAAACGCCTGTCTAGGCTATAAAAACAAGAAGTTCAAAAAGTCGAAAAATTGACATTTTTCCAAAGGGGTTAACGCGTGGTTTTGGTCCAAAATTGGCCATTTTTCCAACTTTTTTTTTTAGACAATATAGAGGAGGAAAATGTCTCTTACAATATTCTAGACCGAAAAAACGCCTTTCTAGGCTATAAAAACAAGAAGTTCAAAAAGTTGAAAAATTGACATTTTTCCAAAGGGGTTAACCCATGGTTTTAGTCCAAAAATGGCCATTTTTCCAACTTTCTTTTTTAGGCAATATAGGCCAGGAAAAGGTCGTTTACGATATTCTTGAACGAAAAAATGTCTTTCTAGCCTATAAAAACAAGAAGTTCAAAAAGTCGACAAATTGACATTTCTCCAAAGGGGCTAACCCATGGTTTTGGTGCAAATATAGCCATTGTTCAAACTTTTTGTTTCATTCAATATAGAACAGGAAAATGTCTTTTACGATATTCTAGAACGAAAAACGCTTTTCTAGGCTATTAAAACAAGAACTTCAAAAAGTCCAAAAATTAACATTTTTCCAAAGGGGTTAACCCATGGTTTTTGTGGAAAAATGGCCATTTTTGAAACTTTTTGTTTCAGGCAATATAGAACAGGAAAATGTCTTTTACGATATTCTAGAACGAGAAAACGCCTGTCTAGGCTATAAAAACAAGAAGTTCAAAAAGTCGAAAAATTGACATTTTTCCAAAGGGGGTAACCCATGGTTTTGGTGCAAAAATGGCCATTTTTCCAACTTTTTTTTTTTCCGCAATATAGAACAGGAAAATATCTTTTACGATATTCTAGAAAGAAAAACGCCTGTCTAGGGTATCAAAACAAGAAGTTCTAAAACTCGAAAAATTGACATTTTTCCAAAGGGGTTAACGCGTGGTTTTGGTCCAAAGTTGGCCATTTTTCCAACTCTTTTTTTTAGGCAATATAGAGGAGGAAAATGTCTCTTACAATATTCTAGACCGAAAAAACGCCTTTCTAGGCTATAAAAACAAGAAGTTCAAAAAGTCGAAAAATTGACATTTTTCCAAAGGGGTTAACCCATGGTTTTGGTCCAAAAATGGCCATTGTTCCAACTTTCTTTTTTAGGCAATATAGGCCAGGAAAAGGTCTTTTACGATATTCTAGAACGAAAAAACGTCTTTCTAGGCTATAAAAACAAGAAGTTCAAAAAGTCGACAAATTGACATTTCTCCAAAGGGGTTAACCCATGGTTTTGGTGCAAAAATAGCCATTTTTCCAACTTTTTCTTTTAGGCGATACAGACCAGGAAAATGTCTTTTAGGATATTCTAGAACGGAAAAACGCCTTTCTAGGCTATAAAAACAAGAAGTTCAAAAAGTCGACAAATTGACATTTTTCCAAAGCGGTTAACCCATGGTTTTCGTGTAAAAATGGCCATTTTTCAAACTTTTTTTTTCAGGCAATATAGAACAGGAAAATGTCTTTTACGATATTCTAGAACGAAAAAAAGTCTTTCTAGGCTATAAAAACAAGGAGTTCAAAAAGTCGACAAATTGACATTTCTCTAAAGGGGCTACCCCATGGTTTTCGTGCAAATATAGCCATTGTTCAAACTTTTTGTTTCTTTCAACATAGAACAGGAAAATGTCTTTTCCGATATTCTAGAACAAAAAACGCTTTTCTAGGCTATAAAAACAAGAAGTTCAAAAAGTCCAAAAATTGACAGTTTTCCAAAGGGGTTAACCCATTGTTTCGGTGCAAAAATGGCCATTTTCCAAACTTTTTGTTACATTCAATATAGAACAGGAAAATGTCTTTTACGATATTCTACAACGAGAAAACGCCTTTCTAGGCTATTAAAACAAGAACTTCAAAAAGTCCAAAAATTGACATTTTTCCAAAGGGGTTAAACCATGGTTTTGGTCCAAAAATGGCCATTTTTCCAACTTTCTTTTTTAGGCAATATAGGCCAGGAAAATGTCTTTTGCGATATTCTAGAACGAAAAAACGCCGTTCTAGGCTATAAAAACAAAAAGTTCAAAAAGTCGACAAATTGACATTTCTTCAAAGGGGTTAACCCATGGTGTTGATGCAAAAATAGCCATTTTTCAAACTTTTTGTTTCATTCAATATAGAACAGGAAAATGTCTTTTACGATATTCTAGAACGAAAAAAGGCATTTCTCGGCTATAAAAACAAGAAGTTCAAAAAGTCCAAAAATTGACATTTTTCCAAAGAGGTTAACCCATAGTTTTGGTCCAAAAACGGCCATTTTTACTACTTTTTGTTTCAGTCAATATAGAACAGGAAAATGTCTTTTACGATATTCTAGAACGAAAAAACCCCTTTCTAGGCTATAAAAACCAGAAGATCAAAAAGTCAAAAAAATTGACATTTTTCCGAAGGGGTTAACCCATGCTTTTGGTCCAAAAATGGCCATTTTTCCAACTTTTTGTGTTAGGTAATATAGAACAGGAAAATGTCTTTTAGGATATTCTAGAACGAAAAAACGCCTTTCTAGGCTATAAAAACAAGAAGTTCAAAAAGTCGAAAAATTAACATTTTTCCAAAGGGGTTAACCCATGGTTTTGGTCCAGAAATGGCCATTTTTCCAACCTTTTGTTTTAGGGAATAAAGGCCTGGAAAATGTCTTTTACGATATTCTAGAACGAAAAAACGCCTTTCTAGGCTATAAAAACAAGAAGTTTAAACAGGCGAAAAATTGACATTTTTCCAAAGGGGTTAACCCATGGTTTTGGTCCAAAAATGGCCATTTTTGAAACTTTTTGTTGCAGGCAATATAGGCCAGGAAAATGTCTTTTAGGATATTCTAGAACGAAAAAACGCCTTTCGAGGCTATAAAAAGAAGAAGATCAAAAAGTCGAAAAATTGACATTTTTTTTTAAAAAGGTTAACCCATGGTTTTGGTCCAAAAATGGCCATTTTTGAAACTTTTTGTTGCAGGCAATATAGGCCAGGAAAATGTCTTTTAGGATATTCTAGAACGAAAAAACGCCTTTCTAGGCTATAAAAACAAGAAGATCAAAAAGTCGTAAAATTGACATTTTTCAAAAGGGGTTAACCCATGGTTTTGGTCCAAAAATGGCCATTTTTTCAAGTTTTTTCTTTAGCCAATATCCAACCGGAAAATGTCTTTTACAATATTCTAGAACGGAAAAACGCCTTTCTAGGCTATAAAAACAAGAAGTTCAAAAAGTCGAAAATTTGACATTTTCCTAAAGGGGTTAACCCATGGTTTTGGTGCAAAAATGGCCATTTTTCAAACTTTTTGTTTCAGGCAATATAGAACAAGAAAATGTCTTTTACGATATTCTAGAACGAAAATACGCCTTTCTAGGCTATAAAAACAAGAAGTTCAAAAGTCGAAAAATTGACATTTTTCCAAAGGGGTTAACCCATGGTTTTGGTGCAAAAATGGCCATTTTTCAAACTTTTTGTTTCATTCAATATAGAACAGGAAAATGTCTTTTACGATATTCTAGAACGAAAAAACTTCTTTTCTAGGCTATAAAAACCAGAAGTTCAAAAAGTGGAAAAATTGACATTTTTCCAAATGGGTTAACCCATGGTTTTGGTGCAAAAATGGCCATTTTTCAAACTTTTTGTTTCAGGCAATATAGAACAGGAAAATGTCTTTTACGATATTCTAGAACGAAAAAACGCCTTTCTAGGCTATAAAAACAAGAAGTTGAAAAAGTCGAAAATTTGACATTTTTCCAAAGGGGTTATCCATGGTTTTGGTCCAGAAATGGCCATTTTTCCAACCTTTTGTTTTAGGGAATATAGGCCTGGAAAATGTCTTTTACGATATTCTAGAACGGAAAAACGACTTTCTAGGCTATAAAAACAAGAAGTTCAAAAAGTCGAAAAATTGACATTTTTCCAAAGGGGTTAACCCATGGTTTTGGTGCAAAAATGGCCATTTTTCAAACTTTTTGTTTCATTCAATATAGAACAGGAAAATGTCTTTTACGATATTCTAGAACGAAAAAACTCCTTTCTAGGCTATAAAAACAAGAAGTTCAAAAAGTGGAAAAATTGACATTTTTCCAAATGGGTTAACCCATGGTTTTGGTCCAAAAATGGCCATTTTTCCAACTTTTTTTTTTAGGCAATATAGGACAGGAAAATGTCTTTTACGATATTCTAGAACGAAAAAACGTCTTTCTAGGCTATAAAAACAAGAAGTTCAAAAAGTCGAAAAATTGACATTTTTCCAAAGAGGTTAACCCATGGTGTTGGTCCAAAAATGGCCATTTTTCCAACTTTTTTTTTAAGGGAATATAGAACAGGAAAATGTCTTTTACGATATTCTAGAACGAAAAAACGCCTTTCTAGGCTATAAAAACAAGAAGTTCAAAAAGTCGAAAACTTGACATTTTTCCAAAGGGGTTAACCCATGGTTTTAATCCAGAAATGGTCATTTTTCCAATCTTTTTTTTTAGAGAATATAGGCCAGGAAAATGTCTTTTACGATATTCTAAAACGAAAAAACGTCTTTCTAGGCTATAAAAACAAGAAGTTAAAAAAGGCGAAAAATTACGATTTTTCCAAAGAGGTTAACCCATGGTTTTGGTCCAGAAATGGCCATTTTTCCAACTTGTTTCTTTAGGCAATATACAACAGGAAAATTTCTTTTACGATATTCTAGAACGAAAAAACGCCTTTCTAGGATATAAAAACAAGAAGTTCAAAAAGTGTAAAAATTGACATTTTTCCAAAGGGGTTAACCCATGCTTTTGGTCCAAAAATAGCCATTTTTTCAATCTTTTTTTTTAGAGAATATAGGCCAGGAAAATGTCTTTTACGATATTCTTGAAGGGAAAAACGCCTTTCTAGGCTATAAAAACAAGAAGTTCAAAAAGTCGACAAATTGACATTTCTCCAAAGGGGCTAACCCATGGTTTTGGTGCAAATATAGCCATTGTTCAAACATTTTTTTTTTAGGCAATATAGAACAGGAAAATGTCTTTTACGATATTCTAAAACGAAAACACGCTATTCTAGGCAATAAAAACAAGAAGTTCAAGAAGTCGAGAAATTGACATTTCTCCAAAGCGGTTAACCCATGGTTTTTGTCCAAAAATGGCCATTTCTCCATCTTTTTGTTTTTAAGCAATATAGAACAGGAAAATGTCTTTTACGATATTCTAGAAAGAAAAAACGCCTTTCTAGGCTATAAAAACAAGAAGTTCAAAAAGTCGAAAATTTGTCATTTTTCCAAAGGGGTTAACCCATGGTTTTGGTGCAAAAATGGCCATTTTTCAAACTTTTTGTTCCATTCAATATAGAACAGGAAAATATCTTTTACGATATTCTAGAACGAAAAAACGCCTTTCTAGGCTATAAAAACAAAAAGTTTAAAAAGTCGACAAATTGACATTTTTCCAAGGGGGTTAATCCATGTTTTTGGTCCAAATATGGCCATTTTTCCACCTTTTTTTTTAGCCAATATAGAACAGAAAAATGTCTTTTAGGATATTCTAGAACGAAAAAAAGCCTTTCTAGGCTATAAAAACAAGAAGTTCAAAAAGTCGAAAAATTGACATTTTTCCAAAGGGGTTAACCCATTGTTTTGGTCCAAAAATGGCCATTTTTAAAACTTTTTGTTTGAGGCAATATAGGCCAGGAAAATGTCTTTTACGATATTCTAGAACGAAAAAAGCCCTTTCTAGGCTATAAAAACAAGAAGGTCAAAAAGTCGAAAAATTGACATTTTTCCGAAGGGGTTAACCCATGCTTTTGGTCCAAAAATAGCCATTTTTCCAACTTTTTGTGTTAGGTAATATAGAACAGGAAAATGTCTTTTAGGATATTCTAGAACGAAAAAAAGCCTTTCTAGGCTATAAAAACAAGAAGTTCAAAAAGTCGAAAATTTGACATTTTTCCAATCTTTTTTTTTAGAGAATATGGGCGAGGAAAATGTCTTTTACGATATTCTAGAAGGGAAAAACGCCTTTCTAGGCTGTAAAAACAAGAAGTTCAAAAAGGCGAAAAATTGACATTTTTCCAAAGGGGTTAACCCATGGTTTTGGTCCAAAAATGGCCATTTTTGAAACTTTTTGTTTCAGGCAATATAGGCCAGGAAAATGTCTTTTACGATATTCTAGAACGAAAAAACGCCTTTCTAGGCTATAAAAAGAAGAAATTCAAAAAGTCGAAAAAGTGACATTTTCTCAAAGGGGTTAACCCGTGGTTTTGGTCCAAAAATGGCCATTTTTTTAAGTTTTTTCTTTAGGCAATATCGAACCGGAAAATGTCTTTTACGATATTCTAGAACGGAAAAACGCCCTTCTAGGCTATAAAAACAAAAAGTTCAAAAAGTCGAAAAATTGACATTTTTCCAAAGGGGTTAACCCATGCTTTTGGTCCAAAAATAGCCATTTTTCCAACTTTTTGTGTTAGATAATATAGAACAGGAAAATGTCTTTTACGATATTCTAGAAGGGAAAAACGCCTTTCTAGGCTATAAAAACAAGAAGTTCAAAAAGGCGAAAAATTGACATTTTTCCAAAGGGGTTAACCCATGGTTTTGGTCCAAAAATGGCCATTTTTGAAACTTTTTGTTTGAGGCAATATAGGCCAGGAAAATGTCTTTTACGATATTCTAGAACGAAAAAACGCCTTTCTAGGCTATAAAAAGAAGAAGTTCAAAAAGTCAAAAAAGTGACATTTTCTCAAAGGGGTTAACCCATGGTTTTGGTCCAAAAATGGCCATTTTTCCAACTTTTTTTCTTAGGCAATATCAAAGAGGAAAATGTCTTTTACGATATTCTAGAACGAACGAACGCTTTTCTAGGCTATCAAAACAAAAAGTTCAAAAAGTCGTAAAATTGACATTTTTCCAAAGGGGTTAACCCATGGTTTTGGTCCAAAAATGGCCATTTTTTTAAGTTTTTTCTTTAGGCAATATCGAACCGGAAAATGTCTTTTACGATCTTCTAGAACGAAAAAACGTCTTTCTAGGCTATAAAAACAAGAAGTTCAAAAAGTGGAAAAATTGAACGAAAAAACTCCTTTCTAGGCTATAAAAACAAGAAGTTCAAAAAGTCGAAAAATTGACATTTTTCAAAAGAGGTTAACCCATGGTTTTGGTCCAAAAATGGCCATTTTTCCAACTTTTTTTTTAAGGGAATATAGAACAGGAAAATGTCTTTTAGGATATTCTAGAACGAAAAAACGCCTTTGCAGGCTATAAAAACAAGAAGTTCAAAAAGTCGAAAAATTGACATTTTTCCAAAGGGGTTAACGCATGGTTTTGGTCCAGAAATGGCCATTTTTCCAATCTTTTTTTTTAGAGAATATAGGCCAGGAAAATGTCTTTTACGATATTCTAAAACGAAAAAACGCCTTTCTAGGCTATAAAAACGAGAAGTTAAAAAAGGCGTAAAATTGATATTTTTCCAAAGAGGTTAACCCATGGTTTTGGTCCCTAAATGGCCATTTTTCCAACTTTTTTCTTTAGGCAATATACAACAGGAAAATGTCTTTTACGATATTCTAGAACGAAAAAACGTTTTTCTAGGCTATAAAAACAAAAAGTTTAAAAAGTCGACAAATTGACATTTTTCCAAGGGGGTTAATCCATTTTTTTTGTCCAAATATGGCCATTTTTCCACCTTTTTTTTTAGCCAATATAGAACAGAAAAATGTCTTTTACGATATTCTAGAACGAAAAAACGCCTCTCTAGGGTATAAAAACAGGAAATTTAAAACGTCGAAAAATTGACATTTTTGCTGAGGGGTTAACCCATTGTTTTGGTCCAAAAATGGCCATTTTTCCAACATTTTTTTTTAGGCAATATAGAACAGGAAAATGTTCTTTACGATATTCTAAAACGAAAACACGCCTTTCTAGGCTATAAAAACAAGAAGTTCAAAAAGTCCAAAAATTGACATTTTTCCAAAGGGGGTAACCCATGGTTTTGGTGCAAAAATGGCCATTTTTCCAACTTTTTCTTTTAGGCGAAATAGACCAGGAAAATGTCTTTTACGATATTCTAGAACGGAAAAACGCCTTTCTAGGCTATAAAAAAAAAAAGTTCAAAAAGTCGAAAAATTGACATTTTTCCAAAGGGGTTAACCCATGGTTTTGGTCCAAAAATGGCCATTTTTCCAACTTTTGTTTTTTTAGGCAATATACAACAAGAAAATATCTTTTACGATATTCTAGAACAAAGAGACGCCTTTCTAGGCTATAAAAACAAGAAGTTCAAAAAGTCAAAAAATTAACATTTTTCCAAAGGGGTTAACCCATGCTTTTGGTCCAAAAGTAGCCATTTTTCCAACTTTTTCTGTTAGGCGATATAGACCAGGAAAATGTCTTTTACGATATTCTAGAACGGAAAAACGCCTTTCTAGGCTATAAAAACAAAAAGTTCAAAAAGTCGAAAAATTGACATTTTTCCAAAGGGGTTAACCCATGGTTTTGGTCCAAAAATGGCCATTTTTAAAACTTTTTGTTTGAGGTAATATAGGCCAGGAAAATGTCTTTTACGATATTCTAGAACGAAAAAAGCCCTTTCTAGGCTATAAAAACAAGAAGGTCAAAAAGTCGAAAAATTGACATTTTTCCGAAGGGGTTAACCCATGCTTTTGGTCCAAAAATAGCCATTTTTCCAACTTTTTGTGTTAGGTAATATAGAACAGGAAAATGTCTTTTAGGATATTCTAGAACGAAAAAAAGCCTTTCTAGGCTATAAAAAAAAGAAGTTCAAAAAGTCGAAAAATTGACATTTTTCCAATCTTTTTTTTTAGAGAATATGGGCCAGGAAAATGTCTTTTACGATATTCTAGAAGGGAAAAACGCCTTTCTAGGCTATAAAAACAAGAAGTTCAAAAAGGCGAAAAATTGACAGTTTTCCAAAGGGGTTAACCCATGGTTTTGGTCCAAAAATGGCCATTTTTGAAACTTTTTATTTCAGGCAATATAGGCCAGGAAAATGTCTTTTACGATATTCTAGAACGAAAAAACGCCTTTCTAGGCTATAAAAAGAAGAAGTTCAAAAAGTCGAAAAAGTGACATTTTCTCAAAGGGGTTAACCCATGGTTTTGGTCCAAAAATGGCCATTTTTCCAACTTTTTTTCTTAGGCAATATCAAAGAGGAAAATGTCTTTTACGATATTCTAGAACGAAAGAACGCATTCCTAGGCTATCAAAACAAAAAGTTCAAAAAGTCGTAATATTGACATTTTTCCAAAGGGGTTAACCCATGGTTTTGGTCCAAAAATGGCCATTTTTCCAACTTTTTTTCTTAGGCAATATCAAAGAGGAAAATGTCTTTTACGATATTCTAGAACGAAAGAACGCTTTTCTAGGCGATCAAAACAAAAAGTTCAAAAAGTCGTAAAATTGACATTTTTCTAAAGGGGTTAACCCATGGTTTTGGTCCAAAAGTGGCCATTTTTTTAAGTTTTTTCTTTAGGCAATATCGAACCGGAAAATGTCTTTTACGATCTTCTAGAACGAAAAAACGCCTTTCTAGGCTATAAAAACAAGAAGTTCAAAAAGTCGAAAAATTGACATTTTTCCAATCTTTTTTTTTAGAGAATATAGGCCAGGAAAATGTCTTTTACGATATTCTAGAAGGGAAAAACGCCTTTCTAGGCTATAAAAACAAGAAGTTCAAAAAGGCGAAAAATTGACATTTTTCCAAAGGGGTTAACCCATGGTTTTGGTCCAAAAATGACCATTTTTGAAACTTTTTGTTTCACGCAATATAGGCCAGGAAAATGTCTTTTACGATATTCTAGAACGAAAAAACGCCTTTCTATGCTATAAAAAGAAGAAGTTCAAAAAGTCGAAAAAGTGACATTTTCTCAAAGGGGTTAACCCATGGTTTTGGTCCAAAAATGGCCATTTTTCCAACTTTTTTGCTTAGGCAATATCAAAGAGGAAAATGTCTTTTACGATATTCTAGAACAAAAGAACGCTTTTCTAGGGTATCAAAACAAAAAGTTCAAAAAGTCGTAAAATTGACATTTTTCCAAAGGGGTTAACCCATGGTTTTGGTCCAAAAGTGGCCATTTTTTAAAGTTTTTTCTTTAGGCAATATCGAACCGGAAAATGTCTTTTACGATCTTCTAGAACGAAAAAACGTCTTTCTAGGCTATAAAAACAAGAAGTTCAAAAAGGGAAAAATTGAACGAAAAAACTCCTTTCTGGGCTATAAAAACAAGAAGTTCAAAAAGTGGAAAAATTGACATTTTTCCAAATGGGTTAACCCATGGTTTTGGTGCAAAAATGGCCATTTTTCAAAGTTTTTGTTTCAGGCAATATAGAACAGGAAAATGTCTTTTACGATATTCTAGAACGAAAAAACGCCTTTCTAGGCTATAAAAACAAGAAGTTCAAAAAGTCGAAAAACTGATATTTTTCCAAAGAGGTTAACCCATGGTTTTGGTCCAAAAATGGCCATTTTTCCAACTTTTTTTTTAAGGGAATATAGAACAGGAAAATGTCTTTTACGATATTCTAGAACGAAAAAAAGCTTTTCTAGGCTATAAAAACAAGAAGTTCAAAAAGTCGAAAAATTGACATTTTTCCAATCTTTTTGTTTAGAGAATATAGGCCAGGAAAATGTCTTTTACGATATTCTAGAAGGGAAAAACGCCTTTCTAGGCTATAAAAACAAGAAGTTCAAAAAGGCGAAAAATTGACATTTTTCCAAAGGGGTTAACCCATGGTTTTGGTCCAAAAATGGCCATTTTTGAAACTTTTTGTTTCACGCAATATAGGCCAGGAAAATGTCTTTTACGATATTCTAGAACGAAAAAACGCCTTTCTAGGCTATAAAAAGAAGAAGTTCAAAAAGTCGAAAACGTGACATTTTCTCAAAGGGGTTAACCCATGGTTTTGGTCCAAAAATGGCCATTTTTCCAACTTTTTTTTGTTAGGCAATATCAAAGAGGAAAATGTCTTTTACGATATTCTAGAACGAAAGAACGCTTTTCTAGGCTATCAAAACAAAAAGTTCAAAAAGTCGTAAAATTGACATTTTTCCAAAGGGGTTAACCCATGGTTTTGGTCCAAAAATGGCCATTTTTTTAAGTTTTTTCTTTAGGCAATATCGAACCAGAAAATGTCTTTTACGATCTTCTAGAACGAAAAAACGTCTTTCTAGGCTATAAAAACAAGAAGTTCAAAAAGTGGAAAAATTGAACGAAAAAACTCCTTTCTAGGCTATAAAAACAAGAAGTTCAAAAAGTGGAAAAATTGACATTTATCCAAATGGGTTAACCCATGGTTTTGGTGCAAAAATCGCCATTTTTCAAACTTTTTGTTTCAGGCAATATAGAACAGGAAAATGTCTTTTACGATATTCTAGAACGAAAAAACGCTTTTCTAGGCTATAAAAACAAGAAGTTCAAAAAGTCGAAAAATTGATATTTTTCCAAAGAGGTTAACCCATGGTTTTGGTCCAAAAATGGCCATTTTTCCAACTTTTTTTTTAAGGGAATATAGAACAGGAAAATGTCTTTTACGATATTCTAGAACGAAAAAAAGCCTTTCTAGGCTATAAAAACAAGAAGTTCAAAAAGTCGAAAAATTGACATTTTTCCAATCTTTTTTTTTAGAGAATATAGGCCAGGAAAATGTCTTTTACGGTATTCTAGAAGGGAAAAACGCCTTTCTAGGCTATAAAAACAAGAAGTTCAAAAAGGCGAAAAATTGACATTTTTCCAAAGGGGTTAACCCATGGTTTTGGTCCAAAAATGGCCATTTTTGAAACTTTTTGTTTCACGCAATATAGGCCAGGAAAATGTCTTTTACGATATTCTAGAACGAAAAAACGCCTTTCTAGGCTATAAAAAGAAGAAGTTCAAAAAGTCGAAAATGTGACATTTTCTCAAAGGGGTTAACCCATGGTTTTGGTCCAAAAATGGCCATTTTTCCAACTTTTTTTCTTAGGCAATATCAAAGAGGAAAATGTCTTTTACGATATTCTAGAACGAAAGAACGCTTTTCTAGGCTATCAAAACAAAAAGTTCAAAAAGTCCTAAAATTGACATTTTTCCAAAGGGGTTAACCCATGGTTTTGGTCCAAAAATGGCCATTTTTGAAACTTTTTGTTTCACGCAATATAGGCCAGGAAAATGTCTTTTACGATATTCTAGAACGAAAAAACTCCTTTCTAGGCTATAAAAAGAAGAAGTTCAAAAAGTCGAAAATGTGACATTTTCTCAAAGGGGTTAACCCTTGGTTTTGGTCCAAAAATGGCCATTTTTCCAACTTTTTTTCTTAGGCAATATCAAAGAGGAAAATGTCTTTTACGATATTCTAGAACGAAAGAACGCTTTTCTAGGCTATCAAAACAAAAAGTTCAAAAAGTCGTAAAATTGACATTTTTCCAAAGGGGTTAACCCATGGTTTTGGTCCAAAAATGGCCATTTTTTTAAGTTTTTTCTTTAGGCAATATCGAACCGGAAAATGTCTTTTACGATCTTCTAGAACGAAAAAACGTCTTTCTAGGCTATAAAAACAAGAACTTCAAAAAGTGGAAAAATTGAACGAAAAAACTCCTTTCTAGGCTATAAAAACAAGAAGTTCAAAAAGTGGAAAAATTGACATTTTTCCAAATGGGTTAACCCATGGTTTTGGTGCAAAAATGGCCATTTTTCAAACTTTTTGTTTCAGGCAATATAGAACAGGAAAATGTCTTTTACGATATTCTAGAACGAAAAAACACCTTGTAGGCTATAAAAACAAGAAGTTCAAAAAGTCGAAAAATTGACATTTTTCCAAAGAGGTTAACCCATGGTTTTGGTCCAAAAATGGCCATTTTTCCAACTTTTTTTTTAAGGGAATATAGAACAGGAAAATGTCTTTTACGATATTCTAGAACGAAAAAACGCCTTTCCAGGCTATAAAAACAAGAAGTTCAAAAAGTCGAAAAATTGACATTTTTCCAAAGGGGTTAACGCATGGTTTTGGTCCAGAAATGGCCATTTTTCCAATCTTTTTTTTTAGAGAATATAGGCCAGGAAAATGTCTTTTACGATATTCTAAAACGAAAAAACGCCTTTCTAGGCTATAAAAACGAGAAGTTAAAAAAGACGTAAAATTGATATTTTTCCAAAGAGGTCAACCCATGGTTTTGGTCCAGAAATGGCCATTTTTCCAACTTTTTTCTTTAAGCAATATACAACAGGAAAATGTCTTTTACGATATTCTAGAACGAAAAAACGCCTTTCTAGGCTATAAAAAGAAAAAGTTGAAAAAGTCGACAAATTGACATTTTTCCAAGGGGGTTAATCCATGTTTTTGGTCCAAATATGGCCATTTTTCCACCTTTTTTTTTAGGCAATATAGAACAGAAAAATGTCTTTTACGATATTCTAGAACGAAAAAACGCCTTTCTAGGGTATAAAAACAGGAAATTTAAAACGTCGAAAAATTGACATTTTTGCAGAGGGGTTAACCCATTGTTTTGGTCCAAAAATGGCCATTTTTCCAACATTTTTTTTTAGGCAATATAGAACAGGAAAATGTCCTTTACGATATTCTAGAACGAAAAAACGCCTTTCTAGGCTATAAAAACAAGAAGTTCAAAAAGTCGAAAAATTGACATGTTTCCAAAGGGGGTAACCCATGGTTTTGGTGCAAAAATGGCCATTTTTCCAACTTTTTCTTTTAGGCGATATAGACCAGGAAAATGTCTTTTACGATATTCTAGAACGGAAAAACGCCTTTCTACGCTATAAAAACAAAAAGTTCAAAAAGTCGAAAAATTGACATTTTTCCAAACGGGTTAACCCATGGTTTTGGTCCAAAAATGGCCATTTTTCCAACTTTTGTTTTTTTAGGCAATATACAACAAGAAAATGTCTTTTACGATATTCTAGAACGGAAATTCGCCTTTCTAGGCTATAAAAACAAGAAGTTCAAAAAGTCAAAAAATTAACATTTTTCCAAAGGGGTTAACCCATGCTTTTGGTCGAAAAATGGCCATTTTTAAAACTTTTTGTTTGAGGCAATATAGGCCAGGAAAATGTCTTTTACGATATTCTAGAACGAAAAAAGCCCTTTCTAGGCTATAAAAACAAGAAGGTCAAAAAGTCGAAAAATTGACATTTTTCCGAAGGGGTTAACCCATGCTTTTGGTCCAAAAATAGCCATTTTTCCAACTTTTTGTGTTAGGTAATATAGAACAGGAAAATGTCTTTTAGGATATTCTAGAACGAAAAAAAGCCTTTCTAGGCTATAAAAGCAAGAAGTTCAAAAAGTCGAAAAATTGACATTTTTCCAATCTTTTTTTTTAGAGAATATGGGCCAGGAAAATGTCTTTTACGATATTCTAGAAGGGAAAAACGCCTTTCTAGGCTATAAAAACAAGAAGTTCAAAAAGGCGAAAAATTGACATTTTTCCAAAGGGGTTAACCCATGGTTTTGGTCCAAAAATGGCCATTTTTGAAACTTTTTATTTCAGGCAATATAGGCCAGGAAAATGTCTTTTACGATATTCTAGAACGAAAAAACGCCTTTCTAGGCTATAAAAAGAAGAAGTTCAAAAAGTCGAAAGAGTGACATTTTCTCAAAGGGGTTAACCCATGGTTTTGGTCCAAAAATGGCCATTTTTCCAACTTTTTTTCTTAGGCAATATCAAAGAGGAAAATGTCTTTTACGATATTCTAGAACGAAAGAACGCATTCCTAGGCTATCAAAACAAAAAGTTCAAAAAGTCGTAATATTGACATTTTTCCAAAGGGGTTAACCCATGGTTTTGGTCCAAAAATGGCCATTTTTCCAACTTTTTTTCTTAGGCAATATCAAAGAGGAAAATGTCTTTTACGATATTCTAGAACGAAAGAACGCTTTTCTAGGCTATCAAAACAAAAAGTTCAAAAAGTCGTAAAATTGACATTTTTCCAAAGGGGTTAACCCATGGTTTTGGTCCAAAAGTGGCCATTTTTTAAAGTTTTTTCTTTAGGCAATATCGAACCGGAAAATGTCTTTTACGATCTTCTAGAACGAAAAAACGTCTTTCTAGGCTATAAAAACAAGAAGTTCAAAAAGTGGAAAAATTGAACGAAAAAACTCCTTTCTAGGCTATAAAAACAAGAAGTTCAAAAAGTGGAAAAATTGACATTTTTCCAAATGGGTTAACCCATGGTTTTGGTGCAAAAATGGCCATTTTTCAAACTTTCTGTTTCAGGCAATATAGAACAAGAAAATGTCTTTTACGATATTCTAGAACGAAAAAACGCCTTTCTAGGCTATAAAAACAAGAAGTTCAAAAAGTCGAAAAATTGATATTTTTCCAAAGAGGTTAACCCATGCTTTTGGTCCAAAAATGGCCATTTTTCCAACTTTTTTTTTAAGGGAATATAGAACAGGAAAATGTCTTTTACGATATTCTAGAACGAAAAAAAGCCTTTCTAGGCTATAAAAACAAGAAGTTCAAAAAGTCGAAAAATTGACATTTTTCCAATCTTTTTTTTTAGAGAATATAGGCCAGGAAAATGTCTTTTACGATATTCTAGAAGGGAAAAACGCCTTTCTAGGCTATAAAAACAAGAAGTTCAAAAAGGCGAAAAATTGACATTTTTCCAAACGGGTTAACCCATGGTTTTGGTCCAAAAATGGCCATTTTTGAAACTTTTTGTTTCACGCAATATAGGCCAGGAAAATGTCTTTTACGATATTCTAGAACGAAAAAACGTCTTTCTAGGCTATAAAAAGAAGAAGTTCAAAAAGTCGAAAAAGTGACATTTTCTCAAAGGGGTTAACCCATGGTTTTGGTCCAAAAATGGCCATTTTTCCAACTTTTTTTTGTTAGGCAATATCAAAGAGGAAAATGTCTTTTACGATATTCTAGAACGAAAGAACGCTTTTCTAGGCTATCAAAACAAAAAGTTCAAAAAGTCGTAAAATTGACATTTTTCCAAAGGGGTTAACCCATGGTTTTGGTCCAAAAGTGGCCATTTTTTTAAGTTTTTTCTTTAGGCAATATCGAACCGGAAAATGTCTTTTACGATCTTCTAGAACGAAAAAACGTCTTTCTAGGCTATAAAAACAAGAAGTTCAAAAAGTGGAAAAATTGAACGAAAAAACTTCTTTCTAGGCTATAAAACAAGAAGTTCAAAAAAGTGGAAAAATTGACATTTTTTCAAATGGGTTAACCCATGGTTTTGGTGCAAAATGGCCATTTTTCAAACTTTTGTTTCAGGCAATATAGAACAGGAAAATGTCTTTTACGATATTCTAGAACGAAAAACGCCTTTCTAGGCTATAAAAACAAGAAGTTCAAAAAGTCGAAAAATTGATATTTTTCCAAAGAGGTTAACCCATGGTTTTGGTCCAAAATGGCCATTTTTCCAACTTTTTTTTTTAAGGGAATATAGAACAGGAAAATGTCTTTTACGATATTCTAGAACGAAAAAAGCCTTTCTAGGCTATAAAAACAAGAAGTTCAAAAAGTCGAAAAATTGACATTTTTCCAATCTTTTTTTTAGAGAATATAGACCAGGAAAATGTCTTTTACGGTATTCTAGAAGGAAAAACGCCTTTCTAGGCTATAAAAACAAGAAGTTCAAAAGGCGAAAAATTGACTTTTTTTCCAAAGGGGTTAACCCATGGTTTTGGTCCAAAATGGCCATTTTTGAAACTTTTTGTTTCACGCAATATAGGCCAGGAAAATGTTTTTACGATATTCTAGAACGAAAAACGCCTTTCTAGGCTATAAAAAGAAGAAGTTCAAAAAGTCGAAAGTGTGACATTTTCTCAAAGGGGTTAACCCATGGTTTTGGTCCAAAAATGGCCATTTTTCCAACTTTTTTTCTTAGGCAATATCAAAGAGGAAAATGTCTTTTACGATATTCTAGAACGAAAGAACGCTTTTCTAGGCTATCAAAACAAAAAGTTCAAAAAGGCGTAAAATTGAAATTTTTCCAAAGGGGTTAACCCATGGTTTTGGTCCAAAAATGGCCATTTTTTTAATTTTTTTCTTTAGGCAATATCCAACCGGAAAATGTCTTTTACGATCTTCTAGAACGAAAAAACGTCTTTCTAGGCTATAAAAACAAGAAGTTCAAAAAGTGGAAAAATTGAACGAAAAAACTGCTTTCTAGGCTATAAAAACAAGAAGTTCAAAAAGTGGAAAAATTGACATTTTTCCAAATGGGTTAACCCATGGTTTTGGTGCAAAAATGGCCATTTTTCAAACTTTTTGTTTCAGGCAATATAGAACAGGAAAATGTCTTTTACGATATTCTAGAACGAAAAAACGCCTTTCTAGGCTATAAAAACAAGAAGTTCAAAAAGTCGAAAAATTGACATTTTTCCAAAGAGGTTAACCCATGGTTTTGGTCCAAAAATGGCCATTTTTCCAACTTTTTTTTTAAGGGAATATAGAACAGGAAAATGTCTTTTACGATACTCTAGAACGAAAAAACGCCTTTGCAGGCTATAAAAACAAGAAGTTCAAAAAGTCGAAAAATTGACATTTTTCCAATGGGGTTAACGCATGGTTTTGGTCCTGAAATGGCCATTTTTCCAATCTTTTTTTTTAGAGAATATAGGCCAGGAAAATGTCTTTTACGATATTCTAAAACGAAAAAACGCCTTTCTAGGCTTTAAAAACGAGAAGTTAAAAAAGGCGTAAAATTGATATTTTTCCAAAGAGGTTAACCCATGGTTTTGGTCCAGAAATGGCCATTTTTCCAACTTTTTTCTTTAGGCAATATACAACAGGAAAATGTCTTTTACGATATTCTAGAACGAAAAAACGCCTTTCTAGGCTATAGAAACAAAAACTTTAAAAAGTCGAAAAATTGACATTTTTCCAAGGGGGTTAATCCATGTTTTTGGTCCAAATATGGCCATTTTTCCACCTTTTTTTTTAGGCAATATAGAAAAGAAAAAAGTCCTTTACGATATTCTAGAACGAAAAAACGCCTTTCTAGGGTATAAAAACAGGAAATTCAAAACGTCGAAAAATTGACATTTTTGCAGAGGGGTTAACCCATTGTTTTCGTCCAAAAATGGCCATTTTTCCAACATTTTTTTTTAGGCAATATAGAACAGGAAAATGTCCTTTACGATATTCTAAAACGAAAACACGCCCTTCTAGGCTATAAAAACAAGAAGTTCAAAAAGTCCAAAAATTGACATTTTTCCAAAGGGGGTAACCCATGGTTTTGGTGCAAAAATGGCCATTTTTCCAACTTTTGTTTTTTTAGGCAATATACAACAAGAAAATGTCTTTTACGATATTCTAGAACGGAAAAACGCCTTTCTAGGCTATAAAAACAAGAAGTTCAAAAAGTCAAAAAATTAACATTTTTCCAAAGGGGTTAACCCATGCTTTTGGTCCAAAAATGGCCATTTTTAAAACTTTTTGTTTGAGGCAATATAGGCCAGGAAAATGTCTTTTACGATATTCTAGAACGAAAAAAGCCCTTTCTAGGCTATAAAAACAAGAAGGTCAAAAAGTCGAAAAATTGACATTTTTCCGAAGGGGTTAACCCATGCTTTTCGTCCAAAAATAGCCATTTTTCCAACTTTTTGTGTTAGGTAATATAGAACAGGAAAATGTCTTTTAGGATATTCTAGAACGAAAAAAAGCCTTTCTAGGCTATAAAAACGAGAAGTTCAAAAAGTCGAAAAATTGACATTTTTCCAATCTTTTTTTTTTAGAGAATATGGGCCGGGAAAATGTCTTTTACGATATTCTAGAAGGGAAAAACGCCTTTCTAGGCTATAAAAACAAGAAGTTCAAACAGGCGAAAAATTGACATTTTTCCAAAGGGGTTAACCCATGGTTTAGGTCCAAAAATGGCCATTTTTGAAACTTTTTGTTTCAGGCAATATAGGCCAGGAAAATGTCTTTTACGATATTCTAGAACGAAAAAACGCCTTTCTAGGCTATAAAAAGAAGAAGTTCAAAAAGTCGAAAAAGTGACATTTTCTCAAAGGGGTTAACCCATGGTTTTGGTCCAAAAATGGCCATTTTTCCAACTTTTTTTCTTAGGCAATATCAAAGAGGAAAATGTCTTTTACGATATTCTAGAACGAAAGAACGCATTCCTAGGCTATCAAAACAAAAAGTTCAAAAAGTCGTAATATTGACATTTTTCCAAAGGGGTTAACCCATGGTTTTGGTCCAAAAATGGCCATTTTTTTAAGTTTTTTCTTTACGCAATATCGAACCGGAAAATGTCTTTTACGATATTCTAGAACGAAAAAACGCCTTTCTAGGCTATAAAAACAAAAAGTTCAAAAAGTCGAAAAATTGACATTTTTCCAAAGGGGTTAACCCATGGTTTTGGTCCAAAAATGGCCATTTTTAAAACTTTTTGTTTGAGGCAATATAGGCCAGGAAAATGTCTTTTACGATATTCTAGAACGAAAAAAGCCCTTTCTAGGCTATAAAAACAAGAAGGTCAAAAAGTCGAAAAATTGACATTTTTCCGAAGGGGTTAACCCATGCTTTTGGTCCAAAAATAGCCATTTTTCCAACTTTTTGTGTTAGGTAATATAGAACAGGAAAATGTCTTTTAGGATATTCTAGAACGAAAAAAAGCCTTTCTAGGCTATAAAAACAAGAAGTTCAAAAAGTCGAAAAATTGACATTTTTCCGATCTTTTTTTTTAGAGAATATGGGCCAGGAAAATGTCTTTTACGATATTCTAGAAGGGAAAAACGCCTTTCTAGGCTATAAAAACAAGAAGTTCAAAAAGGCGAAAAATTGACATTTTTCCAAAGGGGTTAACCCATGGTTTTGGTCCAAAAATGGCCATTTTTGAAACTTTTTGTTTCAGGCAATATAGGCCAGGAAAATGTCTTTTACGATATTCTAGAACGAAAAAACGCCTTTCTAGGCTATAAAAAGAAGAAGTTCAAAAAGTCGAAAAAGTGACATTTTCTCAAAGGGGTCAACCCATGGTTTATGTCCAAAAATGGCCATTTTTCCAACTTTTTTTCTTAGGCAATATCAAAGAGGAAAAAGTCTTTTACGATATTCTAAAACGAAAGAACGCTTTACTAGGCTATCAAAACAAAAAGTTCAAAAAGTCGTAAAATTGACATTTTTCCAAAGGGGTTAACCCATGGTTTTGGTCCAAAAATGACCATTTTTTTAAGTTTTTTTTTTAGGCAAATCGAACCGGAAAATGTCTTTTACGATATTCTAGAACGAAAAAACGCCTTTCTAGGCTATAAAAACAAGAAGTTCAAAAAGTCGAAAAATTGACATTTTTCCATAGGGGTTAACCCATGGTTTTGGTGCAAAAATGGCCATTTTTCAAAGTTTTTGTTTTAGGCAGTATAGGCCAGGAAAATGTCTTTTAGGATATTCTAGAACGCAAAAACGCTTTTCTAGGCTATAAAAACAAGAAGTTCAAAAAGTCGAAAAATTGACCTTTTTCCTAAGGGGTTAACCCATGGTTTTGGTCCAAAAATGGCCATTTTTCAAACTTTTTTTTTTTCGGTAATATAGAACAGGAAAATGTCTTTTACGATATTCTAGAACGAAAAAACACCTTGTAGGCTATAAAAACAAGAAGTTCAAAAAGTCGAAAAATTGACATTTTTCCAAACAGGTTAACCCATGGTTTTGGTGCAAAAATGGCCATTTTTCCAACTTTTTAGTTTAGGCAATATAGAACAGGAAAATGTCTTTTACGATATTCTTGAAAGAAAAAACGCCTTTCTAGGCTATAAAAACAAGAAGTTCAAGAAGTCACAAAATTGACATTTTTCCAAACGGGTTAACCCGTGGTTTTAATCCAAAAATTGGGATTTTCCGAACTTTTTTTTTTTAGGCAATATAGAACAGGAAAATGTCTTTTACGATATTCTAGAACGAAAAAACGCCTTTCTAGGCTATAAAAACAAGAAGTTCAAAAAGTGGAAAAATTGACATTTTTCTAAAGGGGTTAACCCATGGTTTTGGTGCAAAAATGGCCATTTTTCAAACTTTTTGTTTCATTCAATATAGAACAGGAAAATGTCTTTTACGATATTCTAGAACGAAAAAACGCTTTTCTAGGCTATAAAAACAAGAAGTTCAAAAAGTGGAAAAATTGACATTTTTCTAAAAAGGTTAACCCATGGTTTTGGTGCAAAAATGGCCATTTTTTAAACTTTTTGTTTTATTCAATATAGAACAGGAAAATGTCTTTTACGATATTCTAGAAGGAAAAAACGCCTTTCTAGGCTATAAAAACAAGAAGTTCAAAAAGTGGAAAAATAGACATTTTTCCAAATGGGTTAACCCATGGTTTTGGTGCAAAAATGGCCATTTTTCAAACTTTTTGTTTGAGGCAATATCGAACAGGAAAATGTCTTTTACGATATTCTAGAACGAAAAAACGCCTTTCTAGGCTATAAAAACAAGAAGTTCAAAAAGTCGAAAAATTGACAGTTTTCCAAAGGGGTTAACCCATGGTTTTTGTGCAAAAATGGCCATTTTTCAAACTTTTTGTTTCAGGCAATATAGAACAGGGAAATGTCTTTTACGATATTCTAAAACGAAAAAACGCCTTTCTAGGCTATAAAAACAAGAAGTTCCAAAAATTGACAAATTGACATTTTTCCAAAGAGGTTAACCCATGGTTTTGGTGCAAAAATTGCCATTTTTCCAACTTTTTAGTTTAGGCAATATAGAACAGGAAAATGTCTTTTACGATATTCTAGAAAGAAAAAACGCCTTTCTAGGCTATAAAAACAAGAAGTTCAAGAAGTCACACAATTGACATTTTTCCAAACGGGTTAACCCGTGGTTTTAATCCAAAAATTGGGATTTTCCGGAGTTTTTTTTTTTAGGCAATATAGAACAGGAAAATGTCTTTTACGATATTCTAGAACGAAAAAACGCCTTTCTAGGCTATAAAAACAAGAAGTTCAAAAAGTCGAAAAATTGACATTTTTCTAAAGAGGTTAACCCATGGTTTTGGTGCAAAAATGGCCATTTTTCAAACTTTTTGTTTCATTCAATATAGAACAGGAAAATGTCTTTTACGATATTCTAGAACGAAAAAACTCCTTTCTAGGCTATAAAAACAAGAAGTTCAAAAAGTCGACAAATTGACATTTTTCCAAAGGGGTAAACCCATTGTTTTGGTGCAAAAATGGCCATTTTTCAAACTTTTTGTTTCAGGCAATATAGAACAGGAAAATGTCTTTTACGATATTCTAGAACGAAAAAACGCCTGTCTAGGCTATAAAAACAAGAAGTTCAAAAAGTCGAAAAATTGACATTTTTCCTAAGAGGTTAACCCATGGTTTTGGTCCAAAAATGGCCATTTTTCCAACTTTTTTTTTTAGGCAATATAGGCCAGGAAAATGTCTTCTATGATATTCTAGAACGAAAAAACGCCTTTCTAGGCTATAAAAAGAAGAAGTCCAAAAAGTTGAAAAATTGACATTTTTCCTAAAAGGTTAACGCATGGTTTTTGTCCAAAAATGGCCATTTTTCCAACTTTTTTTTTTAGGCAATATAGGCCAGGAAAATGTCTTCTATGATATTCTAGAACGAAAAAACGCCTTTCTAGGCTATAAAAACAAGAAGTCCAAAAAGTTGAAAAATTTACATTTTTCCTACAAGGTTAACCCATGGTTTTGGTCCAAAAATGGCCATTTTTCCAACTTTTTTTTTTAGGCAATATATGCCAGGAAAATGTCTTTTATGATATTCTAAAACGAAAAAACGCCTTTCTAGGCTATAAAAAGAAGCAGTTCAAACAGTCGAAAAATTGACATTTTTGCAAAGGCACCCATGGTTTTGGTCCAAAAATGACCATTTTTCCAACTTCTTCTTTTTAGGCAATAAATGCCAGGAAAATGTCTTTTATTATATTCTAGAACGAAAAAACGCCTTTCTAGGCTATAAAAAGAACCAGTCCAAAAAGTCGAAAAATTGACATTTTTCCTAAGAGGTTAACCCATGGTTTTGGTCCAAAAATGGCCATTTTTCCAACTTTTTTTTTTAGGCAATATAGGCCAGGAAAATGTCTTCTATGATATTCTAGAACGAAAAAACGCCTTTCTAGGCTATAAAAACAAGAAGTCCAAAAAGTTGAAAAATTGACATTTTTCCTAAAAGGTTAACCCATGGTTTTGGTCCAACAATGGCCATTTTTCCAACTTTTTTTTTTAGGCAACATAGGCCAGGAAAATATCTTTTATGATATTCTAGAACAAAAAAACGCCTTTCTAGGCTATAAAAACAAGAAGTCCAAAAAGTCGAAAAATTGACATTTTTCCTAAGGGGTTAAACCATGGTTTTGGTCTAAAAATGGCCATTTTTCCAATTTTTTTTTTAGGCAATATAGGACAGGAAAATGTCTTTTATAATATTCTAGAACGAAAAAACGCCTTTCTAGGCTATAAAAACAAGAAGTCCAAACAGTCGAAAAATTGACATTTTTTCTAAGGGGTTAACCCATGGTTTTGGTCCAAAAATGGCCATTTTTCCAACTTTTATTTTTTAGGCAATATAGGCCAGGAAAATGTCTTTTACGATATTCTAGAACGAAAAAACGCCGTTCTAGCCTATAAAAACAAGAAGTCGAAGACGTCCAAAAATTGACATTTTTCCTGAAAGGTTAACCCATGGTTTTGGTGCAAAAATGGCCATTTTTCCAAGTTTTTTTTTTTAGGCAATATAGGCCAGGAAAATATCTTTTATGATATTCTAGAACGAAAAAACGTCTTTTTAGGCTATAAACACAACAAGTCCAAAAAGTCCAAAAATTGACATTTTTCCCCTAAGGGGTTAGTTAACCCATGGTTTTGGTCCAAAAATGGCCATTTTTCCAACTTTTTTTTTTTTTAGGCAATATAGGCCAGGAAAATTTTTTTTATGATATTCTAGAACGAAAAAACGCCTTTCTAGGGTATAAAAACAAGAAGTCCAAAAAGTCGAAAAATTGACATTTTTCCTAAGGGGTTAACCCCTGGTTTTGGTCCAAAAATGGCCATTTTTTTGCCTTTTTTTTGTTAGGAAAAATATAGGCCAGGAAAATGTCTTTGATGATATTCTAGAACGAAAAAACGCCTTTCTAGGCTATAAAAACAAGAAGTCCAAAAAGTTAAAAAAATTGGCATTTTTCCTAAGGGGTTAACCCATGGTTTTAGTCCAAAAATGGCCATTTCTCGGCCCTTTTTTTTTTAGGCAATATAGGGCAGAAAATGTCTTTTATGATATTTTAGAACGAAAAAACGCCTTTCTAGGCTATAAAAACAAGAAGTCCAAAAAGTTGAAAAATTGACATTTTTCCTAAGGGGTTAACCCATGGTTTTGGTCCAAAAATGGCCATTTTTCCAACTTTTTTTTTGTAGCCAATATAGGCCAGGAAAATGTCTTTTATGATATTCTAGAACGAAAAAACACCTTTCTAGGCTATAAAAACAAGAAGTCCAAAAAGTCGAAAAATTGCCATTTTTCCTAAGGGGTTAACCCCTGGTTTTGGTCCAAAAATGGCCATTTTTTTGCCTTTTTTTTGTTAGGAAAAATATAGGCCAGGAAAATGTCTTTGATGATATTCTAGAACGAACAAACGCCTTTCTAGGCTATAAAAACAAGAAGTCCAAAAAGTTAAAAAAATTAGCATTTTTCCTAAGGGGTTAACCCATGGTTTTAGTCCAAAAATGGCCATTTCTCGGCCCTTTTTTTTTTAGGCAATATAGGGCAGAAAATGTCTTTTATGATATTTTAGAACGAAAAAACGCCTTTCTAGGCTATAAAAACAAGAAGTCCAAAAAGTTGAAAAATTGACATTTTTCCTAAGGGGTTAACCCATGGTTTTGGTCCAAAAATGGCCATTTTTCCAACTTTTTTTTTTTAGCCAATATAGGCCAGGAAAATGTCTTTTATGATATTCTAGAACGAAAAAACACCTTTCTAGGCTATAAAAACAAGAAGTCCAAAAAGTCGAAAAATTGCCATTTTTCCCAATGGGTTAACCCCTGGTTTTGGTCCAAAAATGGCCATTTTTTTGCCTTTTTTTTGTTAGGAAAAATATAGGCCAGGAAAATGTCTTTGATGATATTCTAGAACGAAAAAACGCCTTTCTAGGCTATAAAAACAAGAAGTCCAAAAAGTTAAAAAAATTGGCATTTTTCCTAAGGGGTTAACCCATGGTTTTAGTCCAAAAATGGCCATTTCTCGGCCCTTTTTTTTTTAGGCAATATAGGGCAGAAAATGTCTTTTATGATATTTTAGAACGAAAAAACGCCTTTCTAGGCTATAAAAACAAGAAGTCCAAAAAGTTGAAAAATTGACATTTTTCCTAAGGGGTTAACCCATGGTTTTGGTCCAAAAATGGCCATTTTTCCCATTTTTTTTTTTCTAGCCAATATAGGCCAGGAAAATGTCATTTATGATATTCTAGAACGAAAAAACACCTTTCTAGGCTATAAAAAGAAGAAGTCCAAAAAGTCGAAAAATTGGAATTTTTTCTAAGGGGTTAACCCATGCTTTTGGTCCAAAAATGGCCATTTTTCCAACTTTTTTTTTTTAGGCAATATAGGCCAGGAAAATGTCTTTTATGATATTCTAGAACGAAAAAACGCCTTTCTAGGCTATAAAAACAAGAAGTCCAAAAAGTCGAAAAATTGCCATTTTTCCTAAGGGGTTAACCCCTGGTTTTGGTCCAAAAATGGCCATTTTTTTGCCTTTTTTTTGTTAGGAAAAATATAGGCCAGGAAAATGTCTTTGATGATATTCTAGAACGAAAAAACGCCTTTCTAGGCTATAAAAACAAGAAGTCGAAAAAGTTAAAAAAATTGGCATTTTTCCTAAGGGGTTAACCCATGGTTTTAGTCCAAAAATGGCCATTTCTCGGCCCTTTTTTTTTTAGGCAATATAGGGCAGAAAATGTCTTTTATGATATTTTAGAACGAAAAAGCGCCTTTCTAGGCTATAAAAACAAGAAGTCCAAAAAGTTGAAAAATTGACATTTTTCCTAAGGGGTTAACCCATGGTTTTGGTCCAAAAATGGCCATTTTTCCATCTTTTTTTTTGTAGCCAATATAGGCCAGGAAAATGTCTTTTATGATATTCTAGAACGAAAAAACGCCTTTCTAGGCTATAAAAACAAGAAGTCCAAAAAGTCGAAAAATTGACATTTTTCCTAATGGGTTAACCCATGGTTTTGGTCCAAAAATGGCCATTTTTCCAACTTTTTTTTTTTACGCAATATAGGCCAGGAAAATGTCTTTTATGATATTCTAGAACGAAAAAACGCCTTTCTAAGCTATAAAAACAAGAAGTCCAAAAAGTCGAAAAATTGACATTTTTCCTAAGGGGTTAACCCATGTTTTGGTCCAAAAATGGCCATTTTTCCAACTTTGTTTTTTAGGCAATATAGCCCAGGAAAATGTCTTTTATGATATTCTAGAACGAAAAAACACTTTTCTAGGCTATAAAAACAAGAAGTCCAAAAAGTCGAAAAATTGCCATTTTTCCTAAGGGGTTAACCCCTGGTTTTGGTCCAAAAATGGCCATTTTTTTGCGTTTTTTTTTTTAGGAAAAATATAGGCCAGGAAAATGTCTTTGATGATATTCTAGAACGAAAAACGCCTTTCTAGGCTATAAAAACAAGAAGTCCAAAAAGTTAAAACAATTGACATTTTTCCTAAGGGGTTAACCCATGGTTTTGGTCCAAAAATGGCCATTTTTTTGCGTTTTTTTTTTTAGGAAAAATATAGGCCAGGAAAATGTCTTTGATGATATTTTAGAACGAAAAAACGCCTTTCTAGGCTATAAAAACAAGAAGTCCAAAAAGTTGAAAAATTGACATTTTTCCTAAGGGGTTAACCCATGGTTTTGGTCCAAAAATGGCCATTTTTCCAACTTTTTTTTTGTAGCCAATATAGGCCAGGAAAATGTCTTTTATGATATTCTAGAACGAAAAAACACCTTTCTAGGTTATAAAAAGAAGAAGTCCAAAAAGTCGAAAAATTGGCATTTTTGCTAAGGGGTTAACCCATGGTTTTGGTCCAAAAATGGCCATTATTCGAACTTTTTTTTTTCGTAATAGAGGCCAGGAAAATGTCTTTTACAATATTGTAGAAAAAAAATAAACGCCTTTCTAGGCTATAAAAACAAGAAGTTCAAAAAGTCGAAAAATTGACATTTTTCCAAAGGGGTTAACCCATGGTTTTGGTCCAAAAATGGCCATATTTCAACCTTTTTTTTTTTAAGCAGTATAGGCCAGGAAATTGTCTTTTAAGATATTCTAGAACGAAAAAACGCCTTTCTAGGCTATAAAAACAAGACGTTGAAAAAGTTGAAAAATTGACTTTTTCCCAAAGAGGTTAACTGATGGTTTTAGTCCAAAAATCGACATTTTTCAAACTTTTTTTTAAAGGCAGTATAGCCCAGGAAATTGTCTTTTACGATATCCTAGAACAAAAAAACACCTTTTTTGGCTATAAAAACAAGACGCTTAAAAAGTTGAAAAATTGACATTTTTCCAAAGTGGTTAACCCATGGTTTTCGTCCAAAAATGGCCATTCTTCCAACTTTTTTTTTGGGGCAATATTGGCCAAAAATATGTCCTTTACGATATTCTAGAACGAAAAAACGCCTTTCGACGGTATAAAAGGAAGAAGTTTAAAAAGTCGAAAAATTGACATTTTTCCAAAGGGGTTAACCCATCGTTTTGGTCCAAAAATGGCCATTTTTCCAACTTTTTTTTTTTTCGTAACATAGGCCAGGAATTTGTCTTTTACGATATTCTGGAACGAAAAAACGCCTTTCTAAGCTATAAAAACCAGAAATTTAGAAAGTCGAAAAATTGACACTTTTTCAAACTGGTAAACCCATGATTTTGGTCCAAAAATGGCCATTTTTCCAAATTTTTTTTTCAGGCAGTATACACCAAGAACATTTCTTTTACAATATTGTAGAACTAAAAACGCCTTTCTAGGCTATAAAAACAAGAAGTTCAAAAAATCGAAAAATTGAAATTTTTTCAAAGGGGTTAACTCTTGGTTTTGGTTTAAAAATGGCAATTTTTCCAACTTTTTTTTTTTAGGCAGTATAGGTAGGAAAATGTCTTTTACGATATTCTAGAACAAAAAAACGCCTCTGTAGGCTATAAAAACAAGAAGTTCAAAAAGTCGAAAAATTGAAATTTTTTTCAAAGGAGTTAAGCCATGGTTTTGGTCAAAAAATGGCCATTTTTCCAACTTTTTTTTTTAGGTAGTATACCGCAAGAACATGTCTTTTACGATATTCTAGAGGGAGAAAACGCCTTTCTAGGCTATAAAAACAGGAAGTTTAAAAAGCCAAAAAATGACATTTTTCGAAACGGGTTAAACCATGGTTTTGGTCCAAAAATGGCCATTTTTCCAATTTCTTTTTTTCTTGGCAATATTGGCAGGGAAAATGTGTTTTACGATATTCTAGAACGAAAAAACGCCTTTCTAAGCTATAAAAACCAGAAATTCAGAAAGTCGAAAAATTGACACTTTTTCAAACTGGTAAACCCATGATTTTGGTCCAAAAATGGCCATTTTTCCAACTTTTTTCTTTCGTAATATAGGCCAGGAAAATGTCTTTTACGATAATGTAGAACGAAAAAACGCCTTTTTAGGCTATAAAAGCAGAAGTTCAGAAAGTCGAAAAATGGACATTTTTCCAAAACCCATGGTTTTGGTCTAAAAGTGCCCATTTTTTCAAGTTTTTTTTTAAGGCAATATACGCCAAGAACATGTCTTTCACGATATTCTAGAACGAAAAAACGCCTTTCTGGGCTATAAAAACAAGATGTTTAAAAAGTCAAAAAATTGACATTTTTCCAAAGCGGTTAACCCATTGTTTTGGTGCAAAAAAAGGCAATTTTTCCAATTTCTTTTTTTTGGGCAATTTAGGCAATTAAATTGTCGTTTACGATATTCTAGAAGGAAAAAACGCCTTTCTAGGCTATAAAAACAACAAGTTCAAAAAGTCGAAAAGTTGAGATTTTTTAGGCAATATAGGCCAGGAAAATGTCTCTGACTATATTCTGGAACGAAGAAACGCTTTTCTAGGCTATAAAAACAAGAAGTTCAAACAGTTGAAAAATTGTCATTTTTCCAAAGGGGTTAACTCATGGTTTTGGTCATTTTTCCATGGTTTTGGTCGAAAAATGTCCATTTTTCCATTTTTTTTTTAGGCAATATAGGCCAGGTAAATGTCTTTTACGATATTCTAGAACGAAGAAACGCCTTTCCCGGCTATAATAACAAGAAGTTCAAAAAGACGAAAAATTGATATTTTTATAAGGGGATTAACCCATGGTTTTGGTCCAAAAGTGGCCATTAGGTAATATAGGCCAGGAAAATGTCTTTTACGATATTCTATAAAGGAAAAACGCCTTTGTAGGCAATAAAAACAAGATGCTCAAAAAGTGGAAAAATTGAGATTTTTTCAAAGGTGTTTACCCATGGTTTTGGTCCAAAAGTGGCCATTTTTTCAACTTTTTGTTTAGGTAATATAGGCCAGGAAAATGTCTTTTACGATATTCTAGAAAGGAAAAACGCCTTTGTAGGCAATAAAAACAAGATGTTCAAAAAGTGGAAAAATTGAGATTTTTTCAAAGGTGTTTACCCATGGTTTTGGTCCAAAAGTGGCCATTTTTTCAACTTTTTTTTTTAGGCAATATAGGCCAGGCAAATGTCTTTTACGATATTCTAGAAGGAAGAAACGCTTTTTTAGGCTATAAAAACTAGAAGTTCAAAAAGTCGAAAAAGTGACATTTTTCCAAAGGGGTTAACTCATGGTTTTGGTCTAAAAATGGTCTTTTTTTCAATTTTTTTTTTAGGCAATGGAGGCCAGGAAAATGTCTTTTGCGATATTCTAGAACGCAAAAACGCCTTTCTAGGCTATAAAAAAAAGAAGTTCAAAAAGTTGGAAATTTTATTTTTTTTCCAAGGGGGTTAACCCATGTTTTTGGTCCAAAAGTGGCAATATAGGCCAGGAAAATGTCTCTGACTATATTCTGGAACGAAGAAACGCTTTTCTAGGCTATAAAAACAAGAAGTTCAAACAGTTGAAAAATTGTCATTTTTCCAAAGGGGTTAACTCATGGTTTTGGTCCAAAAAAGGCCATTTTTCCAACTTTTTTTTTAGGCAATATAGGCCAGGAAAATGTTTTTTACGATATTGTAGAACGAAAAAGGGTTAACCTTCATGGTTTTTGTCCAAAAATGGCAATTTTTCAAATTTTTTTTTAGGCAATATAGACCAGTAAAATGTCTTTTACGACATTCTAGATCGAAAAAACGTCTTTCTAGGCTATAAAAATCAGAAGTTCAAACAGTCGAAAAATGGACATTTTTCCAAAGGGGTCAACGCATTGTATTTTTCATCGTTCGTCACAGAGAAATAGGCTTTCTAGACCATAAAAACATTGATTATAAAAATTCGGAAAATTTGGATTTTTCTAAAGGGGTTAGTTTATGGTTTTTCTCAAAAAATGTAATCTTCCTCATTCTTCCTTTTTGTTCAAAATACGCCAAATAAAAGTGCGTAATGACGTTCTGCATACATAAATAGCCTTTGTAGACTATATAAGATCGTTTAAAAAAAGTCGCAAAATTTGCCTTTTTGCCCAAGGGTTTAGTCCATGGTTTTTGGTCAAAAATTGTAATCGCTCCCCTTCTTTCTTTTTTTTCAAAATATGCCACATAAAACTGTTTAATGACGTTCTAGATAGATAAATATCGCCTCTAGACTGTAAAACATCGATTTGAAAAGGTCGCAAAATTTGCATTCTCTTAAAGGGGTTAGTCCATGGTTTTTTTTTCAAAACTGTAATTTTTCTCACTTTTTCTTTTTAGTGAAAATATGCCAAATAAAACTGTTTGCTGCCGTTCTACATAGAGAAATAGGCTTTTTAGGTCATAAAAACATCGATTAGAAAAGTCGCAAAATTTGCATTTTTCCAAAGGGGTAGGTCCATGGTTTTTGTAATCTTTCTCCTTTTCCTTTTTTTTTTTTTCAAAATACGACAAATAATAGTGTTTAATAACTTTCTAGATAGATAAATAGCCAATCAAAAACCGTAATTTATCAAGTTTAGTGAAATATGCCAAATAAAAGTGTTTGGTGCCGTTCTACATAGAGAAATAGGCTTTCTAGACCATAAAAACATTGATTAGAAAAAGTCGGGAAATTTGCATTTTTCGAAAGGGGTTAGTCCATGGTTTTTCTCAAAAACTGTAATCTTTCTCATGCTTTCGTTGTATTCAAAATCTGCCAAATAAAACTGTGTAATGACGTTCTTGATAGATAAATAGCCTTTCTAGACTCTAAAAACATCGATTTTCAAAAGTCACAAAATTTACATTTTTTTAAAGGGGTTAGTCCATGGTTTTTGTCAAAAATTGTAAATTTTCTCAAGTTTTCTTTTTAGTGAAAATATGCCAAATAAACTGTTTGGTGACGTTCTACATAGAGAAATAGGCTTTTTAGACCATAGAAACATTGATTACAAAAAGTCGCAAAATTTGCATTTTTCCAAAGGGTCCATGATTTTTCTCAAAAATTGTAATCTTTCTCATTTTTTCTTTTTATTTAAAAAATGGCGAACAAAAGAGTTTAATGACGTTCTATATAGGAAAATAGGCTTTTCTAGACTATAAAAACATAGTTTTGAACAAGTCACAATATTGCATTTTTCCAAAGTTGTTAGTCTATATGTTTTGTTAAAAATTGTAATTTTGCTTATTCTTTTTTTTAAAGTCAAAATAGGCCGAGTAAAAGTGTTCGGTGACGTTCTAGATTGAGAAATATCTTTTTAGACTATGAAAACATTGATTTCAAAAAAAGTAAAATTTGCATTTTTCCAAAGGGGTTATTCCATGGTTTTTGTCAAAAATTGTAATTTTTCTCATTATTTTCTTTTATACAAACTAGGTGGATTAAATGTGTTTGGTGACGCATTAGGTAGAGAAATAGCCTTTCTAGACTTTAAAAACATCGATTTGAAAAAGTCGCAAAATTGTCCTTATTTTAAAGGGGTTAGTCCACCGTTTTTGTCAAAAAGTTGAAACGTTTTTATTCTTTCTTTTAAGTGAAAATAGTCCGAATGAAAGTTTTTGGTGACGTTCTAGATAGAGAACTAGTCTTTAAAAACATCGATTTAACAAAATCGCAAAATTTGCATTTTTCTGAGGGTTTCCATGGTTTTGCTTAAAAATTTATTCTTTCTGTTTTATCGAAATAGTCCGACTAGAAGTGTTTAATGTCCTTCTTGTTAGAAAACTAGGCTTTCTAGACTTTGATAACATCGTTTTGAGAAAGTGGAAAGGGTTACATGGTTTTGGTGCTAAACTTTTGATTTCTGTATGGTATGTTTTGAAATAGAATAAATCAACTAATTGTGTTTAGTGTTGCTTTATTTAGACTTATAACAAGTCGGAAAATTGGCATTTTTTAAAGGGGTAGGCCATGGTTTTGGTGAAAAATTTAAAATTTGCTCATCCTGCCTTTTTATGCAAAATAGGCCGACTAAAAATGTTTGGTGACTGTCTAGATTGAAGACTAGCCTTTTTAGACTTAAAAAGATCGATTCAGGGAAGTGGCACAATTTGAGTATAAAATTCATCGATGAGATTCGCAAAATTTGCATTTTTCCAAAGGGGCTGGTTAGTCCATTGCTCTGGGTCAAAAATTATTATTTTTTTCATTCTGTAGCAAATATGGAGGCAAAATAAACGTTTTGGTGATGTTCTAGAAACAAAAACCAACCTATCTACAAGAAAGACGTTAAGAGAGGCACAAACGTTTCATTTTTCCAAAGGGGTTAGTTTATGGTTTTGGTTAAAAATTGTGTAACTTGTTTTCGTCGCGTCCTGTCTTTCTAGGCAAAATAGGCCTACAGAAAGTATTTGGTACCTTTTTAGATAGAAAAGTAGTCTTTCCAGACGATAATAACTTCGATCTAGAGTATCAAAACATCGTTTTATGAAAGTTGGTAAATTTCCATGTTTTTTGCCGAAAATTTTCCAGTTTGTTTTTGTTTCTCTCTTAGCAAAATAGAACGTGTAACATTGGTTGGTGACGTTCTAGATAGAAATCTAGCGCTTGTAGACTGATATAGGAAAGTTTTAAAGGTTGCATGTTTCTAAAGGTATTATCGACTTTTTCGATTGTGTAGAGTTCTTTTTTCTCTATATTTAGGAACCCTTGGCTTTATCCTGATTTTATCTATCAAATGACCGCAGGAGCAAGAAAGTTTGCTAAAAACTGTGCCCTGATTCGTAACAAAGCCAAAGAAACAGTCGAAGAGCGGAGAGCTGCTTTAAAAGACAGTGTAAGTATTGCGAACGTTTTGTTTTGCGTAAGAAAGTAAAAAAAAAAAGATTTATATTTTTCTCCAAAATTAAACCATCTGAAAGCAATGGTCATACTACACAACTCCTTGGTATAGCGAGTATCGTACGCATGCGTACAACATATTCTTATATTCCTGACCTTATCACAGAGTTGTGTAGTGTGACCATTGCTTTCAGATGGTATAATATTTCCATACAGCTGTATCTTAATCGTAGTAATTCACAAAATGTTACAAAATTTACAGCTTTTATAATAATCTCCGAAACCTGTGGTTGCTCTTAATAGTAACTAATTTCCACCGCGGCTCCCGCTCGTAATAGGACAATTGCACGATGACGATATTTGACTACAACTACCACAATTCATTTCGGTTTTGCTTTGTTATTTAAATTTGTCAATCCCGCTGAGGATTACAGAACAATAGCCTTAATTTGCATAAGAAAACAACAAACTCAAGGATTCTGGTTGTTGTAGTCAAATGACGTCATCGTGAAATTGTCCTATTGAAAGGAAATACGGAAATGAATGGAGCGACTCTGGAGGTGAGAGAGAAAAGGCGTTTTTGAGCCACGCAAGTCAACCAGAAGTGGACCTTTTGCATTTTTGGGAAGTGGTTTTGCCAAACTTCTCGGACAAATTGTCTCTGTAAGAGAAAAGATACTTAGCAATACAAATTTGTTAACGTCAAGGTACACTCCAAGGGTAAATGTCCCACTTCCGGTTGACGTAAGTCGTTAGAATCTGATTTTGCTTAATCTCCTTAAAGTGTAGACGCGCATGTCATCGCTGTAAGGAGTTAGGAGGGTCGCCGTTGCGTGACGTTTAACAATGGACCATTTTACACTTGTGAGTTTAGTCTCCTAGCCTTTGAGTGAACATGGGGCTGAGGTTGACATTGGTTTGATACAAACCTCTTTCCTTTTCTCGTGGAAATTGTGAATTAAAAATACCAGAATACCAAAGCAGGAAGGGTTATATCAAAATATGGCCAACTCCTGCCTCGTTTCCACCTGTATCTGTAAAATGGTCTTTTCACGGACAGAATACATGAGAAATCGAAGCTTCAGTGTACTTATACGGTCAGCGGCATATCTCAGAGCCTGCTTTCCTTTTGGTCAGTGTGAAGAGTGGCCCTTTTTGTGCTGGCCCAAAACAGTGGGCTCTGGGGTCTAAAAGGCGTCATCAGTAATAGGTCATTTTCAGAATAAGGTCAAATTAAATCAATTATAAGCAACAGAACAAAAAAATGGAAGCACTCTGGTAATTCCATATGGGAAAATATCTGACCTCTGAGGCCTTCTTAAAAGTAACGACCAAGCGCGTAGCCAGAGGTTATCGTTTTTAAGAAGGCCGAGGAGCGATTGTCATTATCTGATTAAATGTACCTTTGCATTGTTTTCGAATCCGCAGGTCATTATTGTGGCCACTGTAGTGGAACAGTAGGTTATTATTAGTAATAGAGAGTTTAAGCTTCACGTATACGGCTAACGGCAAACGTCAGATTCAAGTTGAGAATTTCTTAAAACAGAAAATGAGCAGTTAAAGACAGCTCAAAGCAATTCTTATCGATGGTGAATTATGTGTTCAAATAATGGACAGCAAACGAAAAGTAAAAGGGTAGTCACGTGGTACAAATTCGCGTTTTGGCGTTAACGTGATGCTTACCCTCTCTAATAACAGATAGATTTAAAGTCACGTTTCGCCAAACGCCAAACGTAAATTTGTACCACGTGACCAAGTTTTCCCCTTAATTGTCGTTAACTGTTTGTTACTTCTACTTGAAATAGAGTATTTTCACGCCAGTTTTATCCATAAGAATTGTTCTGGACAGATTTTATCTGTTTATTGTCTATTCTGAGAAATACTCAACTTGAATCTGACGTTTGTCGTAAACATGACTAATGACCTCTCTAAATCTCTCTTATGACCTCCTGTTCCATCACAGTCATCTGCTCTTGCATTTATTCAAAGCACTTAATGGGCCGTTTGTTCTTTTTTATGTGTTTTGAGAGTTCTTTGTTTATGACTAAGATTATTAGTGCACAATTCGCCACTTGCATATCTCCCATAATGCATCTCATTTGCCCCCCAAAATTTTGCGTAACCTTTGTTTTTCATTTCTCCTGGGTATTACAGCCGTCCGAAGAGAAATTGAAAACAATGCTTATGCAAAATTTTGAAGGGCAAATAAGGTGCATTGTGTGAGATGTGCAAGTGGCGAACAAAGAATCGAAATTACCTTAGGAAAACGTACTGCTTCACGTGTAGAGGCATCCTAGAATATTCTAATTATAACTTCTGCAGGATGAGCAAGAGAGGATTCAGAAGAAGAAACGATTGGATTTCTTAGACATCCTACTTGGAGCTAGGGTAATGCAAAAATACCATAAAATGTCGCGTATAAGCCCTAGGTTTATACATCCTCGTAAGGTGTTTTAAGACGGCTTATATCCGAAGGGGCTTGATAACCGGAATAGAAAAACCACTTTGAAACAAGCTACAGCAGTGCTGATCACAAACACGTTTTGTATTAAATTTTACTGGTTTTCAGTTAAGCTTCAAAACGTCATAATAAATCGAACATATTTCAACAAATGCGGAACAGAGTTACAAGAGGGCTTATATCCCGCGGGGAGTCCTTGTAATCGCATGTATATTTTTCTTACAGGTAGCCTGTAACTGGGGAGGGGGCTTATAAGCAACAGTTTACGGTACACCTGTAACTAGAAAGCCTATTCACCATTTTCACCTAGACCATAATGTTCCTTGTTTACCCCCCAAAATTTTGCATAATCATTGTCTTTGATTTCTCTTGGGACGACTGTAATACCCAGGGGAAATTGGAAACAATGGTTATGCAAAACTTTGGGCGGTAAACAAGGTGCATTATGGTGTATGTGAAAATGGTGAATGCAGGCGTGTTAAAGCCCTGAGTGACGATCTTCCTGCTGCAAGACAAGATTTTTTTCCTTTTTTTCACAAGTTGTGCACGACTTTTTGACTGCTTTAATGTGTTCCGTCTCAAGCAGAACCAATCTTTTGGAGAAAGATTATCACAACTTGAAAGGTTTAATCAATAATCCTTTAAAAATGCATGAAAGCCATCAAATATGTTGAAAACATGTCAAACAATGCCAAAAAATTTTGTTTAGTGGCGCCACTGTAATCACAACTTCTACCTTTGCGTCAAGTTGCCGTTATAATAATTGTTGCATTTTTGCGCTATCAAACACTAAAAAACAACCACCATACAAGACTTTTTCATTATGCTGCAGGATGAACAAGGAAATGGTTTGTCCGAGGAGGAAATAATTTCAGAAGTCATGACCTTCATGTTTGCGGGACACGATACAACCGCCAGCTGTGAGTAAAACTATAAATTTAGAGGAAAATTCTTAAAAGTGGCCCTTCTTCCTAAATACTGTTTTTTTGCTTTCTGACAAATGGCCATTTCTGCATTAATTAAAATGAAATAAGACTTCGTAGCAGTGCAGTGCTAATTGGGGATAGAGCGTGAAACAAACAAACTGGATTAGAAAGTTGTATAAGGAATTCCACCCGTTGGGAGAGTTTTGTGTTCGTTGGTTTTACTGATCCGTTTAATTTAGAAAGTGCCGCCATCTTGAATTCGGAAAAAACATTCCTTGTTTTTCAATTCCAAAGCTGTCTCTTGGACATTGTACAACTTGGCACGGTTTCCAGAACACCAACAGAAGTGTCGGCAGGAAATTGAGGAGGTGTTTGGAGAGACAGAAGAGTTTGAATGGTTAGTGTTGATGTGAAGTTTCCAACTATCCTATCGCACATACTGGGTAACTTGCCAAATCCTTAGGCGCCAGTGTTCCGCGCGGTCTGTACCTTTCAGGTCACGTGGTCTGAGCGAGTTTGTTAGAGCTTCTCCCCGCCGTTCTATATCAACCAAAAAGGCCTGGGAAGGCGCATCTTGGCCAGGTATCTGCACATGACTGAACGGATTTAGAGAGGGGGTGGCGAAGGGGCAGCGGTCCTCTCCTCTAGTTTGAAATGTTGGTTTTAAAATTTCTGAAAAATCTATCTGTTTTCCAGGTCCTTCATTTAAGGACAATCGCTCACAGAGTTCTTAAACCGTTAGCAAGTATCCATAACTGGCACTACAGAAACTCACTACCAAAACCTTCGGATCCCTCTTTCTCTCTGCAGGCGATACCTCTCAGAGAACCTGAGCAGAATGTCTTTGCATAGAGACCTACAAGTTTTAATATTGTTCTTTTACAAGATATGCTTATCTTGCCTTTAATAGGAATGATCTCAACAGACTGAAATATCTTCAACTATGTATTAAGGAATCTAATCGGCTTCACAGCGTAGTTGTTTCTACCAGTCGCGTGTTAGACAAGCCCTATGAGATAGACGGAAAAGTGGTACCAGAAGGTTAGTTGCTGAACTGAAGCTCAATTTAAAACTTACAGTCGAACCTCAAAGTGCGACCACCTCCCATAAGCGACCACCTATCCAAAACACCAAAATTTTCCCAGTCAAATCACCACGGTTGCAACCTTGGTAAAATGACTACCTCTCTCGTAAGCGACCGCGACCACTTTTTTGGAAGACGGTTGTAGAATTTCCGATTATTTTATCCTCCCATAAGCGACCATTTAAGGCATTGTTTGATCTCTATGTTCGTTGTTTGCACTACACTGCTAAGAGAATGCGATGTATGTTTAGTAACAACGTGAACCTACACATATGGTAACTTGAAAATTGCATGTAATGAATTCTCTTTAAAAAGGTAGATATGTCGGGACTTCGTCTGGGAAGAGACTCCCGTGGTTCGATTCTCGCCGTAAGAGATTGATGCACCACTCACTATTTACTGCTATTTATCACGGTGGTACAAATAGTCCTACTCAGTAAAACGATATTATCGCCTGATGAAGACCTAAAGTACGCGGTTGAAACGTCGCGATCAATGATTGAGGTCATAACTCAGTGTTATCGCGAGACAAACGATAAACAAATCCCTTTATACAGGTGATTATACACATACCACAAATATCTTTCACGAAACATGTTAACATTGTTTTACAGGTACCTGGGTCAGGACTCACATGTTTGCCTTGCATCGTAATCCACATGTGTGGAAGGACCCAGAGGTCAGTGTGCTGAAATTCAGGGCAGTGTTAAACTTGCAAAGAAACTCGCTGTAGAAGCTTAATAAAACGTTTCTGTTAGAGTGAAACCAGCAAATTTTGCATTTTTCAAGTATTAATGTCGATTTTATTTTTTTAGACTTTTGATCCTCTGCGTTTTACCAACGAAAACATGAAAGAAATGTCTCCATATGCGTACGTTCCATTTTCTGCTGGACCAAGGTAAGGCTTCAAACTTAAATGTATTTAAAGACAATTTCTTTTACGCTAAGAGCAACGAAATGAGGATTTTCTCGTGATGTCACAAAAAAACTCAACGTACTTTCCGGACCTCCATGTCTTAAAACGATTGACTTAAGAACGGATCTAAGGACTCTCTGACCCCTCAATACAGCAGAATCAAACAATTAGAGGAGCGTCCCGTCATACGTCGACCCGCGACAAAGGCGTGGCTCTGTGCACGTGGATCAAGTTGTCCGCGCGATGTATATTATTGATATTTTGACTATTTCCTGAATGTAAATACCTGGGCCCAGTTGTTCGAAGGCCGATTGGCGCTTAACCCGGGGTTCTCTTTCTTGCGTTCAAAAGCATTTTCACGGATAATTTTTCTCTGTTATATTTAGAGCTTGCAATCATCAACTTGTAGACCAAAAGATTGAAACTGAAATGCTTTTTAAGCTTTCAAATCTGAATTCAAATCTCGCACTAACCCTGGGTTATCTTAACCCGGCTTTGAAAAACTCGGCCCAGGGAGATATTTTACAAAGTCTACTCTCTTTAACCCCCTTTATTTTCTCTTTCCCTTGTTCATAAATCCCCCACTCTTTGAGTAAATAAGCAACATCATCTTGTAACCCAGATCTCCCAGGCACCTCTGAGATCTGGGTTCGAGATTATCCAACAGCATCTTCAAATTTTCTTATTTCAATTATCAGCAGCTTTTAAGACGTGCGAGAAAAAGAGATCGGTTTACACATCACTATTCGTAATTCAACTCTGTACTATCATTTATGTTTTCAGAAACTGTATTGGCCAAGCTTTTGCCCTTGCTGAGATCAAAATAGCTATTGCAATGATTCTTCGCAAGTAAGTGAAAAAAACTAAAACAACTGAATCTGAAGTTTTGTTAATAACGAGGCAAATGAAGTCTCATTTTTACAGGGTTAGGCTTATCTCAAGTTAATAGATGCAGAGTCTTCCGCGGGCAACCCACGTTGAAGTTGTTTTACTGAGACACTTGATTTTAAGTGTCTCATACATTCAAATTGTTTCCAATGTATTCCTCGCTCATCCCCCGGGACTACTCGTCTTTGGGAAACGAGAAGATTCTGGGGACAATCTTACATTAGCCTCGACTGCAGGCTAGTTCTAGTTTACTACCAACATTTAAGGGGTCTATAGCAGGCATCCACTCACGTGACTAGGGGCCACTATTTTTAGAGAGGAGAAGTCGTTACGTCCCGTTGCCATGGTAGCAAAATTTCCGGATCACAACAAACTGTGGTCCTGCAAATATGGCAGAAAAACGTAAAAAATGATATGTATGACTTTCCTGCGCATGATTACACTAAGGAACAAAACGACAGCCCATAGTTTCGTTCCATCGTTGGACAATGCAAATGGCCGTCTCTGTCAAGAAAAATTGTTGGGATCCAAAAATATTGCTACCACGGTAACGTGACGTCACACTTTTCCTCCCTACTGGAACAGACGAGAGTGTTCACTCGAGAAAAGAGTTAAATCCGCACAGGAGTATTGACCACTACAGAAAATACCATAGCATACCAAAGTACCCTTTGTTGGTCACTCCAAAACTTTGCATAAGCATTGTCTTCAGTTTCTCTTTGGAGTTCAAATGGCCCCAAGAGAAACTGAAATTAATGCTTATGCAAAATTTTGGACGACCAATAAAGAGTATTATGGTATGTTATGGTATTTTCTGTCGTGGTTAATTGTAACACCCTCTTGATACACCAATAAGCACAAAGTAAAAGCTTGGTTTCCTTCTGACAGGTTTGATTTACGCGTAGCCCCACAGAACATTGTATCAAATGAAGACCTCCAATCTCATCTGATTCTTAAAGCGAGAAATGGCATTGTGGTCAATATCTCACCGAGGTCCACTCCCTAGAAGGTGAAAACGAAACAAGATTGTTCAAGAATTCAATAGCTGGTTGCTTAACTCAGTTCTCTGAAACTTAGCTAATGTAATGTAAGAGGTGTTTTAAAAATACTTTGTCATGCCAGACTACTGCAAAACAGTCCGTATTTTTGCGTATTCAAGGCTCGTGCGGGTCGCGCGTGGGAGACTTTAAACCGATTTGGAGAAAAATAAAAAACCGACTGTTTGCAGTGTATTGTTATGCATAATCACCATCGCGATTTCTACAAACAAAAGAACCTCAAATAAGCAGTGAATATTAACTCAGAAGCGACATCGCCAAATGACTATGGCAAATGGAAAAATGATGGCCCAAATTTTTTATTTAAACCGAAACGGCTTCATTCAGGATAGGAAACATTTTCGAGCATGTGACATCTATGCATGCCTTTTGGGGCGCACGTTTTTAAGTACTTCTCGGCCGTTTCCTTTTCAATTTCGCTTTAATTTTAACTCTGATGATCGAAAAGCCTTGCATGTACGAAATATTAGCATGTTTACCGTAAAAACAAATATTATCCCCGTTTTTTGAAGCATTCTCCTTTTCCATTTTTAAATCGGTCACTCGCGGGACCGGAAATCGTAAATATTGTTCAAGTTAGTGCGTAGTTTCGTATGAAAAAGTTTGTGTTATGTATTTCTTTAAACCCCCAAAAATATTGTTTTAAAGTGATTGTTAAAAAACATATGCATTTCAAGTCTTGTTAAACTGTATAGTTATCTAAAAGCTGAAAAAATGTTTAATATAAACTATCTTCTATATATTAGACTGTATATTTATCTAAAAGCTGAAAAAAATGTCTTAATATAAACTATCTTCGCCAGGTCTTTGAGGTAATAAAAGCGAATAAAGAGAATCGAATATTTTAGCGTGCTGTAGTGTTTTGCGTGTGTTCATGTGGCCCAGCGGATCGAGAATGCAACACCGTAATGTCGATGATAAAATTTCTGGTATAACTCCTCCTTAAAAGTGGCTTTGAGGTTAAAGGAAAAAAAGGGTAAAAATATATTTTTAAAAAGGAATATAGTAAAATGTAAATATATAGAAAGCTAATTCTGTGAATATATTTTTTTTAAAGTATTTAGTCAGTTAGTTGACATTGTAAGTAAAATTAATTTAATGATCTGTGTTCACAGTTCCCTTGCTCCAGGGGTCTTTTCTCGAAATACGACGAAATAGACCGTGCTTACGGCTTGATAAAGCTCCCGAGAAGGACGTAGTTGTTTTTTTCTCTCGGCGCTATGGCTTTGCGCCTTACTGCCGCAAACTATCAGAAATTAAGCAAAACAGACAAAGATCGATCAATTGATCCTTTTGTGTTTTGAGATTTGCATTTGAGAAGTTCGTGCCACATATGACGTGAGACGATTGAACACGTTAAAATTGCTTATGGTCTATCCGATTCTTGTCTATTTTACCTCAAATTAATGGGCAATGAAAGTTAAACAATATGTGAAATTTTCGCAATTTCAAATCGTCTATACAAATCATGATAAAAATCGCCTACATATCGGTTTGTTTTTCAACAGCGCCTTTGTAGCTTGGGTTAGGTTTTTCAGTAAGTCAGAATGCCCGTTATCGGAATGATTCGATTTAGTGCAAGGGGCGCTAATTTTTTTCTTTGGGAGTGGATTCTAAATCAAGTACAGAACGGCATTTACAGAGCAGAGCGCTTATTTCTTTCTAAACAAACAAACGACAACCTTCTTAAAGTATCACAAGACGCTGAATGTTTACTATCTGAGGTAAAATGATGATTTAGTCGCTATCGACTTAAAAATTATCATCATTTGTCCTTTCTGCCTTATACTTTTTACTAATTAATCGATTAGTGTAATTCTTCCGCCGGAGAATGCATTAGAGCCATTCACGCAATGTTTAATTTGGAAAAAAAGTTTGTTCTAGAGCGTCTCTCATTAGGACGTCGTAGAAATGGTTACTGCGATACGATGGTGGGCCTCTCTATGGGTATTTCCGACGAAATCGAAGTCGCGACGATCGTTATTGATGAAACGATAAAGTTTGGCAACCGTGAGTGATGCGATGATGGCAAAGGCATCTGCCAAAAAGAGTGAAACGTTTAGAGTTTTTCTTTTGCTTTTTAAACCTGTTGCTTTTGATTTCCTGGTTTCCTTCGTCGTCCTCGCGGTTGCTCAAGCTCGCTTATAGTGATAGCCAGCAAACAATTCTTGTTATGCTGCGACGATTTCGTTGAAAACCGACGATATGATGGAAAGTCCCGACGAAACGGTGGTCACAGGTATCCATAGAGAGAATATAATGAACACTTCAGAAGCCGAGTGACACCTAAGTATCCGAGAACAGTTTCGTTGACATTCTGGCAGTTCTCGAAGTCATTTGGGCGAAATCGACTTCGTTTTTTCTTTCCTAGCTTTTCCTTAATATCGTTACTTACAACAAGTAAAATTTGAGTGAAAAATTCACTTATGATACAGGGAGGTACTGGGGCGAATAAAGGCAAAAACGGACCTGGAGTAAGATGATTGGACAAGGCCGTAAGCAAGAAAATATTCCCGAATTTTAAACATCTCTTTTTACTTCGCTGGAAACAGATGTAAAACCCTGGGCTAGTCACAATAGTTGGTCAGTCACAGATCCTTTATTTGCTTGTTGAAAAGAAACGTTTAGCTCAAGTTCTCGCAATGCGTCTGCTTTTTCAAGCTTACTTTCTCGCGATGTTTTTCGTAATGACCGTCAAAGGCGATGGAGCTTCTCCATCCTGTCCCAAGCCGTACGACAAGAGGATGGTATGCAACCTGATGTGTAACATTCTACAGGATTCAAGCGCGAACGACGCCATTAAAATGTTGCAAACGAAACTAGAAAGTCTCATTGCAGAGTTGAACAAACCAGGGATAGCACAAAAACCAGGTAAATTGTTGCAGTTGTTAACGACTTTTTAGCTAGTGAGGTTTGTAAAGCCACAAGCAGTGCTTCTAACCAGAGGAAAACTTCACTCACGAGTGAATTAAGGTCGCGCATTTTGTATTTTATTTAGCCAGAACGTCCGTATGAAGTCGTTATTAATTAACACCAGAATTTTTGAATTTCATACAGCCGTTCCCGCTTCCCCGTGCCAGGAACAGTATGAGAAACACAAGTGAGTTCCTAGATACAAGTAATGTCATGGGAAAGGTGATTTTTAACTGAGTCACTGGCGGCTCTGAAGAAAATATCCCCGTACTTCCAGTAGGAGTCGAACCTATGACCTTCAGGTTACTAGTCCAGATGCTCTACCACCGAGCTACGGGCGAATCGTGGGAGCTAAGGCTACTAAACAAGCTAGGTTCAAATAAGTACTGACAAAAAGGCAATCACCGCCAAGAGACACTCTCCTTTTCTTTTTCGAAACCAGCTTTGAAACGTCGATCTTCAATATTTTGACGCACAGTCAAGAAAGAACAAGAGTAGTCCAGAAATGCAAAAATGATCTTTGGTAAAATAAACCTGACAGTCACTATTTTCATTTTCGTAGTTCGGCCAAAAGCCAAGTGTACACGTTGAAGTTTGGTTCGCAAAAGATTCCTGTTTACTGTCACATGGGAAACTTTGGATGCGGAGATGGAGGGTGGACACTGGCCATGAAGATTAATGGCGCAAAGGTAAAACGATTGTGCTGCATACGGAAGTTATGTATATAGTGTAAAACTAATGGGTTCTTGTTTGTATTTCAGAAAACTTTCCATTACAGCTCTGGGTTTTGGAGTAACAAGAATTCCTATAACCTTCCAGGAGGTAAGACCGGGTTTGACGATCAAGAGACTAAACTGCCAACCTACTGGAACACATCCTTCTCCAAGATCTGCCTGGGTATGAAGATCGGCAAGCAGATCAAGTTCATTGTTATCAACAAGAAGGCCGCTTCTCTGCACTCACTGATCGCAGACGGGAAGTATCGCGCCACGTCACTGGGTCGTAACACGTGGAAGAAGCTGATTGGTTCTCAGGCTTCCCTGCAGACTGGGTGCAACAAGGAGGGGTTCAATGCGGCGAGCACCACTTGCAGCTACTGTGCTAAGACAAGAATCGGTATCCTTGGAAATAACGAACGAGACTGTAGTAGCTGTGATTCCAAAATTGGGTTTGGAACTGGAGGACGAACTGACGATTCCAACACATGTGGGAACAACGCTATCAAAGGATATACATCGGATAATGGAGGGAGAAACATAAAAGCCATGGGATATATCTTGGTACAGTAGACTGAGCTTAATTTACTAGTACCTTACTGTACACCAAAAAAACTGACGCAATAAAAGGTTATTTAACTATTTGTGCCCTGTTATTGAAATCAATGGTTCATTCCACTGAGAAAGTGACTTATTTACCGACGATAGCTAAGGAGTGATCTAAGGAGTGATCGACAAATACGAATGGCGTTCTAACCAACTCAGTAACTGATGAACAGGTTTTCGTAAACCCGTCTCCCTGGCTCCAAGAATTAGCTGATCTTTGGCTGACAAAATTATAACTGAATTGTTTAAGACTGAGAAATAGAAAGCCAGATCGTCGCAATGCATATGAATATCAGAACAAATGCCGAAACCAATGATCAACAAATTTGTGAACTAAGTAAAGCTATGCTCAGACTAGTATAGTATGAACAGCAACGACACAGAAATGGCACACACACAAATACCCACATCGAACATCGTGCCAGAGCGGTTGGCCGCGAGGGCTCCGTGCAAAAAATCCCAATCCTCACTGCTAAATATTTCCTTCCGTCTCAGTGGAATCCAGTCCTCGCCCTACTAATCCACTTCCGCTACGGTCCGAAAAGGTGTTCACACCGCACAAAGTGTGGCACGGAACCTATCCGATATGTGACGCTCCACTTTCGAGATCGGCGAGACGCAACTTCGCTCGGGCCGTTGCAGAAATCGCGCCCAAATCACCGTTCTTATGTGTGAACGAAAGCCCTAAGCGGTAATGTTTTCCTGCCGGCACAAGAGGTTTCCGGTAGAGTATGAACATGGCTTAAGTCAGGCTGAGTTGCTAGACCAACTCCTGTTAAGTTGGATTTGTAAAAGCTGGCACGCAAAAATAGATATTTACACAAAAGACACTTTTAATAACCTTCCAACCCATTAAAATGCACCGTTCCAGCAGGTACTGTTTCAAATGAAACAAAGCTTTTGACATTAAAACAATATTATAAACGGCTCAAGCGTCTCTATGAGAATGAGCATCTTGTTAGTTCATTTACTTCACATGCGATTGCAAACTTGTAGCAAAAGTCACAAGATAAAGACCTTATGTCTTGTTGTGGAAAATCTTCAGTGTCCTTGGGCAACTTTGGAACGCAGCCTTGCTATCTTTGGTCGAGATGCCTCTTGCTGTAAATAAATTAATAAGAGAAAAATATCACTAAGATGACAAGAAAAATTTGGCCAATTATCCCTTTGAAAAAGGCGATTGGCCACTTTAGAAACGAGAAGGGAACTGGAGCCGAAATACGTCCCGAAATTGTTTCTGGGAACGTTACTGGGGACGCGCCGGTCAGCTGTTGGTCAGTTCTAGAAATAGTCCCAGAACTCTTTGCGAAAGTTAACTCGGCGAATGATGGGGATGCCCAACCTCGTCCCCAGGGCTTTCCCTACAAAAAATTGCCCTCCCATTTTTTTAGGGAAAACCCTGGGGACGGGGTCGGGGGATGCCAAGTGGAGTGTTAACGCAAGCTGTATGTCGGTTAGTGAAAACGTGGAAAAAAAAGTGAAAAAATAAAAATAAAAACCCGACAATGTTTTAAAGAAGTGCAACGCCATCGCTTCCTTACCTGAGATGTCATTTTTTGCCCTAAGAACCTAAGATCCGCCAAAGGAATAACAGATGGCCTAAGCAGGAAAACAAACTAATTAATGCAAGGCCAGCTAGTGAGTACAAGCATGATAATATTGAAGTAACAGTTCGCTCTTAACCTATTGCAATCATTCATAAAAGCAACGAGGGCCTTATACCTGTTAGAGAAATGATAATAATGTTTCACGTTTGCGTCTTTGGGTGGAAGCCAAAGTGGTGCTAATTGGTGATGTCTATTACGAGGCGCTGAAATAATGACCTCTATTCTATACCTCCAGAGAGAGAGCCAACCTTCAATTGGCCAAAAGAGGGAAATTAGGCGCGCGAGACGGCGATGGGCACTAATAAAAATGACAAGGATACCGGTCGTCTCCCTTACAGGTAGAAATTGCGGATCTTGGTCTCAGTTTCGATTTTAAGGACCGAAAGCCAATATATATCACTATAAGATATCACTTTGGGTTTTTCGTGAAGAAATTGTTAAATGAAAATAACAAACGCCGTCATACTGTGCTGGAGTAAGATCTCCTTTATGAGCGAAACAAAGCGTGGGTCACGCCCACGCTGGTCTCCTTTAGGATGTGGTCAGGCACCCCCGTGAGATCTGGGTTCGAGATTATCCAACTTCATGTTCAAATTTTCTTATTTCAATTATCAGAAGCTTTTATGACGTGCGAGAAAAGGAGATCGGTTTTCACATCACTCTTCGTAATTCAACACGGTACTATCATTTATGTTTTGAGAAATTGTATTGGCCAAGCTTTTGCTCTTGCTGAGATCAAAACGGCTACTGCAATGATCCTTCGAATGTAAGTGAAAAAACTAAAACAACTGTAGTTTGATGATAACGAGGCGAATGAAGTCTTATTTTTACGGGGTTAGTCTATCTCAAGTTAATATATGCAGAGCCTCTTTGGCAGGCAACTCACGTTAAATGTTTTTTTCGCTGAGCCACTTGATTATAAGTCTTCCATACATTGATTCAATTTGTTTTAGTGTTCCTCAACATGAGCGCTGACCTCGTCCCCGGGAATGCTCGTCTTTGGAGAACGAGAAGACTCTGGGGACAATGTTACATTAGCCTCGGATGCAGGCTAGTTCTAGTTCACTCCAAACCCTTAAGCGCCCTACTGTTAGAGGGCATTCACTCACGTGACTAGGGGTTCTATTTCATTGGAAGAGAAGAGAGTGTTTACACGAGAGAAGAGTTAAACTCGCACAGGATTATTGTAACACGGTATTGATACACCAGTAGGCAGGCCTTTCTGAGGGTGGTGGGGGTGGGTAGACCGATATAAAAAGGCTCTATAGTTGCTGTAAAGTTATAGCTTGGTTGCCTTCTTACAGGTTTGATTTAAGCGTAGCCCCACAGAACAATGTATCACATGAAGAACTCCAGTCTCATCTGATTCTTAAAGCGAGGAATGGTATCGTGGTCAATAATTCACCGAGGTCCACTCCTTAGAAGGTAAAAACGACACAGGCATGTTCAAGAATCAAGTGGTAGTTTGCTTAACTAAAACTCAGCTGATGAAATGTAAGAAGTGCGAAATACTTTGTTATGTATAGGCACCATCGCAATTTTAGAAAAGAGAAGAACCTCGAGTTAGCAGTGAATAGAAACGCAGGAGTGACACTACGTCGCTATTTATAATTAATATCTCTGGAAAATCTAAAGGGCCCTTGGAGAATGGCAAATGGAAAATGATAGCCGCATTTTATTCAAACAGCTTCGTTCAGGGCAGGAAAAATTTTCGGGCGTGATATCTGTCGATGCCATTTTGGCAAAGTAAGGCGCACGTTTTCAAGACTGTACTTCTTGATTGTTTTCTTTAAACTTTCGCTTCAATTTTATCTTTGATGGGTGATTGAAAAGCCCTGGCATGTACGAAATATTGGCATTTTTGTTTACCGTAAAAACGAATATTATCTCTGTTTCTTGGGGCATTCCCTTTTCCATTTAAAATCGGTCGCTTTTGGGAAATTATCGTAAAAAATTGTTCGAGCTAGTGCATAGTTCTTATAAAAAATTTAGTGTTCAAGTATTATGTGTTAAGAACAGCATTTCAAATCTTTTTAGGGTGTACACGTATTATGTAGCTACAAGAAGAAAAATGTTTTTAAATAAACTATCAACTAGGTGTTTGTTACAATAAGGAGAAGGAATGTTAGCGTGCTGTTGTGTTTTGTGTGTGTAGCTGAACATATCTCTGAGATTTTAATGTCAACAGAACAACAGATCGACAATGCAACATTGTAATTTCGATATTGAATTTTCTGGTGTACCTCTCCTGAAAACTGGCTTACATGTAAAGGTTAAAGGGAAAAAATGCCAAAAAATATATTTAAACAAAGCAATGTTGAAAAATGTAAAATATAGAAAGCTACTTCTGTGAATAAATTTTAAAAAAATAATAATTAGTCAGTCAGTTGACATTATATAGTCCAATGATATGTTTCCACATAGCTTCACCCAATAGAAATCATGTGTGTTTCCATTTCTGCCTGACACGAAAATGCTTAGATCATAGCTACTAGCGACAAGAATAAGAGGTCAATTGTGTTTTAAGAGGGGGTCATGTAGCGCCCATCATGTTCGTTCGCACTGAGAAGTTTGTACGACATATGACATGAGGCGATTGAACACGCTAAAATTGCTTTTGGTCTATCCAATCCTTGTTTGTTTTGCCTCAAATTAAATTTAACTATTGATAATGTGATTCAAATTAATGGGCAATGAAAGTTAGACAATACTTCAAATTATTTATATAAATCGTGATGAAAATCGCCTTAATATCGATTTCTAGCCAGGAATGATTCGATTTAGCGCAGGGAAGATAACTATTGCAAAGTATTACAAGAAGGTGAATGTTTCCAAGCTAAGGTAAAATGACGGATTGAGTCGCTAGTGGTCCAAAAATTATCATCTTTTGTCTTTTCTGCCCTATATGTTTTTAAGTTGATCGATTATTGTAAATCGTCTGCCGGAGAATCGATTAGAGCCATTCACGCAATGTTTAATTCGGTCATTGTATTTTTTTTCTTTTACCAAAGTTTCTTCTTGAGCGTATCTCGCAACAAGGCCATGCGATGGTGAGCCTCTATGATTATTTCCGACGAAATCGAAGTCGCGACGATCGTTAATCAGAGATGAAATGAAAATCTTAGAAATTATAGCGACTATCGCATTGCCACTCCGATCAAGTTTGGCAACCGTGAGTGATGCGATGATGACAAAGGAATCTGCCACAAAGCGTGAAACGTTCAGAATTTTTGGTCGGTTTGCTATTTCCTTTTTATTTACTCGTTTCCTTCGTCGTGGTCGTGGTTGTTCGAGCTAACCCTAACCCTAAAACCCACGATTTGATGGAAAACGCGAGTCGCCAAAAACAGAGGCTGGATG